TTTATATATTTTTAATGGGCTGGAGCGATAGCACAGCGGTAGGGCGTTTGCCTTGCATGCGGCCGACACGGCCGACCCGAGTTCAATTCCTCCGCCCCTCTCGGAGAGCCCGGCAAGCTACTGAGCGTATCTCACCTGCACGGCAAAGCCTGGCAAGCTACCGTGATGTATTCGACATGCCAAACACAGTAACAAGTCTCACAATGTTACTGGGCCCGCTAGAGCAAATCGATGAACAACAGGAGGACAGTGACAGTGATTTTTTTTTTAGTAACTGCTATAAGCCAAGCTGGTTGAACTTTTATATACTTTTTTCTCATTTAAACCTCCCAACACTTTTATACTTCTGTTAAAAAGGTATATTTGGGGATTCTGGGGGTGGGGGGTGGGGTACACTTGGCTGTGCCCAGGGCTTACTCCTGGCTCTGTGTTCCGGGATCATTCCTGGCAGGGCTCGGTGCACCCTGTGTGATGTCTGGATGGTGTTTGATTTTTTGAGCCCCCGTGACCCCCCAACCCCCAACAATGCAGTATCATTCCTCACTTAACAGACGAGGGAGGGAAGCTGCTGAAGGCTGAAGTTACTTGCTGTGCTTGTTACCGAGGACCACCCCGCGTCTGCAGGACCTGGGTCGCGTTCAGCACCAGCGGTGCTGCTGTGGGCAGGGCCGGGCACGGAGGGACCTTCCTGCTTTCCCAGCAGCTCCTGTTTCTTCCTGGGCTTGCGGCCGCATCACACCAGTCCCTGCCTCCTCCATGGCTGCTTTTCTCTGTATTTCTGCTTTCTTCCTTCTTTTTTTGGGTCACACCCAGCGATGCTCAAGGGCTTACTCCTGGCTCTGCACTCAGGAATTACTCCTGGCGCTGCTCAGGGGACCATATGTGATGTTGGGAATCAAACCCAGGTCGGCCATGTGCAAGGGAAATGCCCTCCTCGCTGTGCTATCGCTCCAGCCTCTGTATTTCTGATTTCTAACCTTCCTGCAGTCTTTTGCCTTTGGGCCTGCAGGAGCGGGACCCCCAGGTAGTGGCTCTGCTTTGGCCTGGCTATGGCTGAGGGGTCTGGAGGGTGGGGGCCACACCCCTGTCCTGAGTGCATTGTGCTTTCTGTCCCCAGAGAAAACCCTGCCAGCCCTCTGGTGCTGCCTGGGTGCCCTGTCAGAGGGTACCACTGGGTAGGCACGCGGATAGCCCAGCAGGGAGGGCGCTTGTCTTGCATGTGGCCCACCCAGGTTCAATCCTCTCCTATAGTCTCCGAGCACCGCCAGGAGTAATTCCTGAGCTCAAGCCAAGAACTGGGGCATTGGACCTTGCCCTCTGCCCCCCAAAATACAGGATCATTTCCTCTCTAGGTGCTTTACTCATTACATCTGTCAAGACTCTATTTCAGAATTACAGTCCTATTCTGAGATGCAAATGGCCGTGGGTTTGGAGGGTGACACCACTCACTCCCTCAACCTTATATAAACCCTACACCCGGTCGCTGAAGGGTGAGCCCAAAACCTGCAGTAGCCAACCCGCTCTCCTCTTGGCCAAACCCAGCAGTGCTCAGGAGACCAGATGTGGTGTCAGGGCTGGACCCAGGAGTGTTCCTGCCAGGACAGTACCCCTGCAGGAGGGATCTGGGGAAATCCATGGAGGCTTCAGAAAACAGGAGACACAGGGCCCAGTCAAGATTTGAAAGTGCTGTAGGCCAAGTCTCGTCTTTTCTTTATTTTTATTATTAAAAAAATTGTTTTGTTTTTTTTGGGGGCCACATCTGGCTGTGCTCAGAGACTACTCCTGGTAGGCTTGGGGTGCCAGGTCAGCTGTGTCCGAGGCAAGCACCCTCCCCGCTGTACTTACTATCTCTCCAGCACCACCTTTTTCTCGTTTGTAATTTTTCTTTAGTAAGGCACCAAGATTTACAAAGCTATTCATGGTTGAGGTCTAGGCCGATGCCATGCCAGCACTGACCCTACTGCGTGTCCACTTCCCCACACCTGCCCACGGCCTATTCCCTGGGTGTGGTCTGGCCCCTGGCCCCCCACCATCTCCCTCCCTGCTGGCAGAGCCATGTAACCACTGCAGTTGCCCACGTGGGGTCTCTTTCCTGCCAAAGCGCCTTATTACAGCCTAATTACAAACAAGTCTGCACTTCTCGGCGGCACCACACACGGAGCTCCTTGATTTAGAGAAAAACATTTCAAATAATGCAGACTCCAAATAATGCAGACTCGCAAGGCGGAGGCACAGCCTCTCCCTGTTTCTTACTCAGAAACAGATTCATTTGGGGGCTGGAGAGATAACACAGCGGGTTGGGTGTTTGCCTTGCACATGGCTGGCCCAGATCAGATCCCTGGCACCCCAGGTGGTCCCCTGAGCACCACCGGGAGTATTTCCTGAGTGTCAACCCAGGAATAACCCCCGAGCATTGTCAGGTGTGGCCCCTGAGAAAACAAAAAATAAAAATAAAAGATAGAAAAGAGACAGCCACTTTTTGGGCCTGGAGCAATGGTACAGCAGGTAGGGCATTTACCTTGTATGTGGCTTCGGAAAACAGGACACACGGGGCTCAGTCAACCCAGGAATAACCCACCCAGGTTCAATCCCCAGCATCCCATATGATCCCCTGAGCACCACCAGGGTAATTCTGTAGCAGAGCCAGGAGTAACCCCTGAGCATCACTGGGTACGGCTCCAAACCAAGAAAAGACAAAAAAAAAAAAAAGCAGCCACTTTGGGGGGTGAGGGGTAGAGAGGGGTGGTGTTCAGAGTTTAGTCCTGGCTCTGTGCTCAGGGATCACTCCTGGGGGTGCTTGGGGACCATATGGGCTGTTCTGCGTGCAAGGCAAGATCCCTGGCACCCCATCCCTATCTCTCCAACCCTGGAAACAACCAATTTTAAATCTATTCCCCACCCTCTCCATCATCAGCCCGGAGACTCTTCCTTCGGAAAGAAGCCACTTGCGTGGACATCCTGGGTGCTGGCCTGGAGAAAGATGCTGAGCTTCCTTGGTGGTGGATGTGGGGGTGGGGTGGGGATCCCTGACCTGCACATGGAAGGTTTTACATGTGTGTGTGTGTGTGTGTGGGTGAACTTTCCATGGTTTTTCAAGATGGATGGTTTCGTTTTCCCCATTTTAGAGCAGAGATAAGCACTGTTCTAAAGAAAGGAACTGGCGTTCACAAAAGCACCAAGCAGGACCTGGGGAGATGCCCAGAAGACTGTGTGTGTGTGGAGGAAGCTCAGCTTTGTCTCGCAGCACCTCTGGGAGGAACCACTGAGCATCATGGGGAGTGAACCTCCCCACCCAAGGGCCCCCACTCCTGACACCCATCATCAAGCCTGTCATCATCACGCTAAAGCCTTTAAACGCGGAAATCTAGGTTAGACAGTCCCTACCTCTACGATCCAGGAAACACAATGCTATTTTGGCACCTTTTCCAAGGTGCAGCCCTTCTCTTCCCTCCAAAGTTCCAACTCCAGATACTGCTGACTCCCCAAACCGAGAGCAGAGGGACCATCTGTTCACGGCCACTTGGAGTTTCATCATTCTGTCCTCACTATTGCCACATCTAGGCGGTGATCCTAAGACCAAACAGAAACCCCATTCTTGAGATGATGATTCAGTCATTTTGACTTTATTTTCAGGAAAAAGAAGACACAAAGTCCGCTGCCTTGAAAACCAGCTATTAAGAAGGCACCGTGAGAAAGAGTCGTGTAATCGTTTTACTGCCTAAGGAATGACAGAGATTGCATAAGTCATGAGGTCACTGCTGTGAGAAAACAAACATGATTATTCTGATGGACGCAAACAGGAGTTGCTTGAAGATACCAGACACCGCCAATGTGGGGCACATGTTCTAGATAAGGGGACAACCGTGATTCCCAGTCAGCTCAACAGAAAACTACTTTTCCGTTAGAAACGCAATGTATATCTATGGATAGCCCTCTTAATACCGGGGAGAACAAAGGCAGAGCTCACACAATAATGTGAGACGGATTCTACTTGGGTCTGCTCCTTCCTCAAGCGTGGCTTGCATGTCTGTGAGCGGAATGTTCCCACAGGAACCTACGTGGTTTCCTCAGTCATGAGACCACACAATTGGAGCATCCAAAAAAAGTTTCAGTGAATTTCTTCCTATAAGTAAAATGCCTCCAGACCCACTAACTGTGGAAATTCCCCCTCTTCAATCTTTGCCCTGCTCAGGACAACAAAAACACACTTAAATATATTTAAAAAAAAAAAAAAAGACCCCCCCTTGAATCTTAATTTACCCTTTTTTCTCATTAAATAATGATTCTAATATACAGACATGGATATTTTACACATTGTAGGGTCTCAGCCTGTTACTGAGGTTTGCAATGATGCATCAGTCACTGTGTGTCAGTTACACACCCCAAATGTGTTTTTCCTTCTACTATCAGCAATTGAAGATCTTTTTTTTGGGGGGGGCCACACCTGGCTGTGCTCAGGGCTCGCTCCAAGGCACCTGCAGGGTGCCAGGCATTGAGCAGGGTTGGCCACCTCCAAGGCAAGCACCTTAATACCTCAACAATGTCTCCAGCCCTCAAGATTATTTTTTTCTCTTTTTTCTTCTTAATTAAAAAAAAAAAGGGCTTCATTGCTGGAATTTAGAACTTACATTGGAGTTATATGAAAAAATACCATTTCCATGCGAAAGCCACATCAAGCCTTCAAGCCTCTATTGCTGGTGCTGTAATCTTTTTGCGTGTCTTTGTTCTCATAGAAAAGAAGACAGCCTGGAATGAACACCACACGAGCCTCTGAAACGGTTCAACGTAACAGGAATGCTGGGCCTGGCTGTACGGCCACCTGCACAAACGCGGCCCGCAAAGGGAGAGAGAGGTCGGACATCTTTCTCTCCCAGGAGAGAGAGGGGTCCAACATCTTTCTCTCACAGGAGGGGTCCGACGTCTTTCTCTCACAGGAGAGAGGGGTCCGACGTCTTTCTCTCGCAGGAGAGAGAGGGGTCAGATGTCTCTCACAGGAGAGAGGGGTCCAATGTCTCTCACAGGAGAGAGGGGTCCGACGTCTTTCTCTCGTAGGAGACGGGGACGGTTAGGGTGGGGGGAGTGTCAGACGTCTTTCTTTTGCGTCTGCTGCAGCTTTCTTCTCAAGAGCCCATAATTTTCCTTCGTCCCGGAGGCAGTGGGATCCAACCGCAGAGAGATCTCGTAGTGCTTCTGGGCCAGGTGGAGATGACCCCAGCGGTGATAGAGCACGGCTGAAAGAGCCAGAGAGGAACTGCATGGCAATGCTGCAGCGGGAACTGGTGGCACCCCGAGGCCTCGCACAAAGAAACCCCAGAACACCGCTGCACATGGGGTTTCCCAAATGGCTGTGGAAAGTCCCTGCATCCCGGCTGTGACCTTTCTGCAGCCAGGCTCTGGGAAGGGCTGCTTGCTTTCTAAACTGTGAGGGTCTTTATTTTTATGGCACTTTAGGCCACGTGGTCCTAACAGTGTCTATGCTTAGGGATATCACTCACTATCACCTCCCTGCAGTGCCAACCTCTCCCGCCCCAGGTGTCTCCTCCTCCCCTCCCCGCTCCCCTCATGCTCTTTTTCATCTCCCTGCGAACCCCCACCCGCCCCTACTGCTTGTTGACTCACTTTTGTAGTTAAAGTCCTGGAGACTGTGTTTTCCCCTTTTTTTCTCCTCTGTTTGTTTTCAAGCCACACCCAGCAGTTCTCAGAGCTTGCTCTTGACTCAGCTCAGGGGTCACCCCTAGTGGAGCTCAGGTGGACCCAAGGTGGTCCCGGGGATCAAACCAGGGTCACGGCCTCAGCACTGTGTGCAGTGACCTACTGTACTCCCTCTCTGGCCCATGCGGTGACTAAGCTCCCGGAGGAAATTCTGGGCTTCTCTGCATCGCCTGACACGATCCCCCACCCGGAGGCTCCACCATCACCCACTGCCCAGACCAGGGTGAGGATTAAGAGCTCGGGCGGCGGCTCCCAGTGTGCCACGCCCATCCGGGAAGCCACTGGAGACCGTGCAAAGCCCCGGCCCTGCACATGGCCAGGCACCTCTTGGCCCAGGCTCCCCAGCACCCCGGGGCCAAACCAGAGCTTGTCTGTTGCTGAGTCACCGAGACCTGACTCTGAAGATTAAATGAATCTCAGTCTCAGGACCACACGAGGCTCGCGCTGCATTCATTCTACGGGAGTTGTCCACACACACAGATTTGGGAAATGTGCGGACCAGCGCTCACACTTACACAGAGAAACACATGTAGCGGTGCTCGGGGCACCTTGGCCCACTCCCAGTGACAGTCCCCGGGGCAGCGGTTCTTGGGGGACAGTGGAAGTGACACATCTGGTGCTGCTTAGAGGACCGTGTGAGGATGACACTCAAGGCGTCACACATGCCAGGCACGTGCTCTGCCACTTTCTTTTCCCTTTTTTGGGTCACAACTGGTGATGCTCAGGAGTTACTCCTGGCTCATGCACTGAGGAATTACTCCTGGCGGTGCTCAGGGGACCATATGGGATGCTGGGACTCGAACCTGGGTTGGCCATGTGCTAGGTCGGCAAACACCCTACCCCTTTGCTATCGCTCCAGCCTTCACACGCTCTACCACTTGGGCCATCTCCCTGGCTCTAGATCAGACTACTAGCTAGCTTTATAAAGCATCAATTCCTGTAAAAATGCGAGCCAGTGCAGGAGGTAGGGCATGGACCTTATGCTGTCTGCAAAGACCTGCACCCTGGGTTAAACTGCTGGCACCAAACACGGTCCCCTGGGTCACAAGGCCCAGACAGCACCCGGAGCACCGCCAGGGGTGCCCACACTCCTCAAAGAAGTAACTAAGAATAAACACACAGGTCCATGCCAGCTGGCAAAGGGCTGCAGGAGGTAGATTTGAAAACCCTATTCTCCCAACGCGAACTTTATAGACGCGCGTCCGCTCTGCTGAAATCAGAGCCGTTCGACGTAGTTCAAGCTGACAAACTTCCTTACCCAAATTGCCATGGTAACTCGCAGCCTTCGGATGCGCTTTAATTGCTTTGAGGAATAAAGCTTCGGATTCCTGAGACAAAATACACGAAAGTTAGGCACCGTGTGCAACAAAGACTCAGTACCCACATGCCCATGCCCCTGACTTCCACCGCGCCCCTTGCCCTGAAGTGCTCTCGAGGACCAGCTGAGAGGGTGCTCCCCAGGGTGCTGAGAGGCAGTTGGAGGTGCATGGGATGGTGTGAAGGTGGTGTGGACGGAGGGAGGGCGAAAGGCCCGTGAGCTTCCTCCCTGCAACGCTGGAATCTGGTGCCTTGCAGAAAGTCACGTGGCTCTGGGTGGAGGGTGAGGGAGGCCGGGAGGGCAGGGAAGGAAGGGGTGGGCAGGCAGGGCAGTCCGCAGCAACAAACTCACCAATGAACTCACCTCCAGGAGTCTCAGGCACGAGTGGGGACCCCCCCACGCCCCACAACCCAGAAGCAGCCTGCTCATGGTGATTGTTGTTCTTGGGGCCATCCCTGGCTATGCTCAAGGCAGACTCCTGGCTCTGTGCTCAAGGATCACTGCTGGGGGTGGGGGGCTGGGGGAGCCTCTGGGGTGCTGAGGATTGATTCTGGTCTGCTGAGTTCTGGTCAAGCACTTTCCCCACAGTGCTCCCTTGTCCCACCCCTGGGGCAGAGTCTGGACTGGTTCCACAGGCACGCCCCGCCATGCCTCAACCACCAGCGCCCCTCCTCAGAGCCCCGAACCCACGGATCAGAGTTGCATGCCCGGACACTTCTAGAACGTGGCAAGGAGATGCTCGGACACAGGGAGGGTCTGGTCCGTGTTTTCCAGGGGCCCTCACCCGTGTGGTGCAGGTGATCCCCATACCGAGCTCCCGCGTGCCCCACCCCACGTGAACCCCACTCCCAGAGGGGAGAGGCAGGGGAGGGGCTTGGCGCAGTCTCTTCTTCGGGCTTCTGCTCCCCGAGATTGAGTCCCAGCAGAGAATCCTGACGAAGGTCTGATCTCCCAAGTGCACCTTTTTTCTTTTTCCTTTTGTTTTTTTGGGGCAATATTCTGTGGTGCTCAGGGGTTCCTACTGGCTCTACCACTCAGGAATCACTCCTGGTAATGTTTGGGGGACCAGGTCAGCGTCCTCCCCGCTGTTCTATCTGCTCACAAATACACCTTTGGGGCCAATTCCTGCTGGCTGCAGAGTGCCCTGCGACCCTCGGAAGCCCCCACCTGCTCCATGAGACCCTACCCCGGCTGCGCACCTTGTACTTCTGCGACTTCCCCAGAACGTTCGCCAGTGAGAACATGAGCGAGTGATCATTAGGGAGCAGTCCCAGCGCTTCTCTCCCGACGGCCTCGGCCTGGGCCAGGTTCCCTGCGAGGGCAAACGGGAGAGCAGGACCTGTGCTTACACACCAGTTTTCCATGGCGGGGAGGGCCTTTCTGCAGGGATTCTGGGTGGAGTGCTGCAGACATCCAGGTGGAACCACTGCATACACTCACACACACTCATATACACTCACACAAACACGCTCACATACACTTATACACTCCCACAAATATTCACACATACACTCATACACATACTCACATTCATACACACACTCACACTCACACAAACACGCTCACACACACTACACTCACAAATATTCACACATACACTCATACACACTCACAAAAACACGCTCACACACACTACACTCACACAAATATTCACACATACACTCACACACACTTATACACTCACACAAATATTCACACATACACTCATACACACACTCACATTCATACACACACACTCACAAAAACACGCTCACACACACTACACTCACACAAATATTCACACATACACTCACACACACTTATACACTCACACAAATATTCACACATACACTCATACACACACTCACATTCATACACACACACTCACAAAAACACGCTCACACACACTACACTCACACAAATATTCACACATACACTCATACACACACTCACACTCACAAAAACACGCTCACACACACTACACTCACAAATATTCACACATACACTCATACACACTCACAAAAACACGCTCACACACTACACTCACAAATATTCACACATACACTCATACACACTCACAAAAACACGCTCACACACACTACACTCACACAAATATTCACACATACACTCACACACACTTATACACTCACACAAATATTCACACATACACTCATACACACACTCACATTCATACACACACACTCACAAAAACACGCTCACACACACTACACTCACACAAATATTCACACATACACTCACACACACTTATACACTCACACAAATATTCACACATACACTCATACACACACTCACATTCATACACACACACTCACAAAAACACGCTCACACACTACACTCACACAAATATTCACACATACACTCACACACACTTATACACTCACACAAATATTCACACACTCATAAACACACTCACATTCATACACACACACTCACAAAAACACGCTCACACACTACACTCACACAAATATTCACACATACACTCATACACACACTCACACTCACAAAAACACGCTCACACACATACACTCACACTCATACACACATTCACACACACTCATACACTCACACTCATATACACACAAACATGCTCATATACACACACTCACACATTCACGTACACACACATACACACTCACAGACACACATTCACACTCATACAAACACACACACAAACAACTCACACACATACATACTCACGCAGACATATACATACTCACACACATACACACACTCATACATATACTCACACACATACCCAGACACACACACATACTGATACACACACACACACACAGGAGCTCTGGTTCCCACACACCACAATTCTGACATCTATAAGATAATTTCCAAGCCCATGGCAGAGGCCTCTGAGGCCTGATCCCGGTTTTCCCAGGGTTCAGATCCAGACAGGAAAGACGAGTGGAGGGAGCCAGAACACGCTGCAGGGGGATGGTTGAAGGTTGAAGCACAAGCCGGGCAAACAGCTGACCTGGTCCAGATACCTGGCACCGCCATGGGTCATCCCTGAGCACCACCAGGTGGGGACCCCAGACCAAAACCAAGACAAACTGTCACAACTTAGTAATTTCTACTTTCTTGGGAGAAATGTGGGACACCTTCGCCACCAACAACACATAAATGAATAATTTCTTTAATTAAAAAAAAATTAAGTAAGTCATGGCACTCTGTGGGCCACAATTTGACGTTGCGATCTCTGTATTCTAGAAATCAGCCTTGCCTTGGCCATCCCAGAAGTTGGGTGTTTAGGAAGATGAGGGTCTCTGCCCTGCTTACAGAGCTTCCTGGCATCACCACTGCCCATAGGGTGCTGGGGTGTTGAGGTCCTTAGGAATGGTGAGCAGGATGCTGACTGATTCTGGCACTCGGGCTAAGACCCAGCCCATGGAGTGCAGGTCATTCTCTCTCAGAAGAGAACCCAGCTGGGGGCATCGCTCAGTGGCTGTCTCTGAGAGGGAGCCCAACCTCCCCCAGGCCATCCGCTCAGAAGCCCTGCTCGCTCTCCCATGGCAGGATGGCTGGGATCAGGAACAGCTGGGCGTGTGTGTGTGCGTATGCATGTGTGTGGGTGTTTGCATGCATGCCTAGTCCAAACAGACCGAAATACCCATCTTCCAGTATGGCCAAGGCAAGGCCATTTTCTAGGACAAATAAGATGAGCAATGTCAAACTGTGGCTCACAGAGTGCCATTATTTACTTACATAATTTTTAATTATAAAGAAATTTATTAATTTATGAGTTTTTTGGGGGGCGTCCCTCCAGAAGTGTTCAAGGGGCTGTTCCTGACTCAGTGCTCAGGGGACAGTATGTGAGGTCAGGAGCCATCAGCTGCGACCCAAAGCCAAGTGCTTTAACTCCCCCCACCCCCTCTCTCTCGGCTCCTGTTATTTAACCTGTTTGTTTCTGTTTGGGGGCCACACTTGGTGGTGCTCAGGTGTATACTCATGCTTCTGTACTCAGGGATCACTCCTGGTGGTATGGAAATTATCTTATAGATGTCAGAATTGTGGTGTGAGGGGGGGCATCAAACTTGGCTGGCTGCGTGCAGGACAAGTGCCCTCTCTGCCATTTCATTGCTCTAGCCCTGGTCCTACTAAAATGGCACAAGAATTGAGGCGCAAAGACATACTCCCTGCTCACCCGTGGGGGAAATTAAAGCACAGTCCTCCCTGCTTTTTGGGTGGGCTGCGCCTGGCACCTGGCCCTCGCCTACCCGTATTATCCAGGAGGATGATCATGTTGTTCCAAGCCAGGCTGTGCTCGGGCTTCAGCATCGTGGCGTTCCTCCAGGCGTTCAGGGCGTCCACGTGGCGGTTCAGATCCGCGTACTGAAACAGAGCACAGGACCTCAGCTACACTCTCTCCCCTGCTTGCCCGTGAGGATGGGCTTGGTTTATGTTTGGTGATTAGGCCACATGGGACGGTGCTCAGGGCCCATTCCCGGCTTCCGGTGGGGCCCAGGGGACTCTGTGTCACGCCGGGGATGGGACTCGGTAGCAAGGCAAGTGCTATCTCTCGGGTCCTGTGACTTGTTCCTTAGGCAGCTTCTCAGTATTTCTACCAACTCATTGAATTCTCAAGATAATCTCGGTGCAGTCGATGACTATTTTACAGATACACACGCGAGGCAGAGAAAGAAGGGAACTTGTCTAAGCAGTGCACCAAGTAAGGGGTGAGCAGGAAAAGGTAACAGGAAGTCTGGCCCCAGGCTGGCTATTTTATTTTGGTGATGGTGGTGGTGCGGGAGGGAGTTATTCTCAGCTCTCTGCTCAGGAGTGACCCCTACTGGTGCTTAGGAGACCATGCAATACAGGGGATTTGACCCGGGGTCAGCCGTAGGCAAGACAAGAACTTTACCTCCAGCCTCAGCAAGCTTACAACTGTTTCCCTGTCACCCCAGACGTAGAGATTCCATAGAATCAAAGCATATTTCATGTCACCGAAACTGCTAAATTAAAGCCTAATTTTTCGGAGCCAGAGTGATAGTCCAGGGGGGAGATTATGCGCGACTATTCCAGGTTTGATCCCCGGCAGCCCGTATGAACCCCAAGCACTGCCAGGAGTAACTCCTGAGTGCAGAGCCAGGAGCAAGCCCTGAGCATCGCTGGGTGTGACCCAAAAAGCAAAAAACAAACAAACAAACAAACCCCTAATTTTTCTTTTTCTGGAAAGACCATCCACTCCAATTCTGACAAGATGTTAGATAAAATGAGAAACCTAATAGTTAATGTTATTAAAAACAGATGGCATAAAAATTCACCTCTGAAGATTCTGAATTCTCTCCCCAGACATTTCTAAGCTTCAGAGAAACCTAAGAGTTTTCAGATCCCACCCCTGGGAAGGTCTCTGGAAAATTCTTGAGCTCAGTCCTGGAGTCTGTCTGCCTCCTTTAGGAAGGAGATAATTATCTGTTGCTTCCTTCTGAGAGAAGCTGTTGTTTTTCTTTTCACTTTTTGTTTTGGCTTGTGGCCACACCTAGCTGTGCTCAGGGATCACTTCTGACTCTGTGCTCAAGGGGCATATATGGTGCCAGGGATTGAACTGGGTTGGCTGTGTCCAAAGTAAGTACTTAACACCCCCTGGACAATTTTTCCAATCCAAGGCAGGGACTGTTGTTGGACTTGAATAACAGAATATTGAGCAGCTAGTTCTCAACTGGCCTGAGAACATGAAGGGCTTTTTAGCAGGAGACCTTCATGCCCTCCTGAGCTCAGTTCAGATGTGCATCTTATCGGAAGGAACGGCACTCCTGTAACTGCAAGAGGACACAGGGCAAGAAGGGGTCAGAGCTGGGGTTAGAGAGATAGTAACGTGAGCAGGGCGCTTTCCTTGCACACAGTCAACCTGGGTTCAACTCTCAGCATCCCCTAGAGTCTCCGAGCCTGCCAGGAGTGATCTCTGAGCGCAGAGCCAAGAGTAAGCCCTGAAAGGTGATCCCCCCCCCCCAAAAAAAAATATTGATCAGAGCTTAAGACTTTTTCCTTTTGGTCCAGAATGCCTTTTATTTTTGTTATTATTATTATTATTTTGGTCACACCTGGTGATGGTCAGGGGTTACTCTTGGCTCTGCACTTAGGAATTACTCCTGGCAGTGCTTGGGGACCATATGGGATGCTGGGGATCGAACCTGGGTCAGCTGTGTGCAAGGCAAATGTTCTACCCCCTGTACTATAGCTCCGGCCCCCAGAATGCCTTTGAGATAAAAGGAACTTTCGGACTTGCTTGGTGACCCATATAGCAAACAGGTGGCATAGTATGTGGAAAAATAAAGAAAAGTTGAATAAATTATGGGAACATTCATGAACATCCATTTGTGAAAGATGTTGTTGGAATTATCGGTGAGATCTGGAAACTCGAGTTACAGTATTTCACCTGTTCAAAGAAGAAATGACAACAGAAAATCTTGGCCAGTGATGTAGGCCGGTAGATAGGGAAAGGCCCTTTGCAGTGGAAGAAGAATTCTAGGAATGATCCAACTTGTGGATACAGAAAACAAAGGCCTGATAAGACCATCCGCAGACCCTCAGGATATAGGCCTCCCCGTGAAATTCCTCTTTTTGGACCTCCCTGGTAACCTCCTTAGCAACGAACTTTTACCTGGAAAGAAGCCCCACGTGGGGGCAGGTTGGAGAAACCCTATAAAGGCCACCTTGAACAAAGGAAGCTCGCGCATATGCTGCCTGAGCCCATGTGCTGCTTGCGCCCACGTGGCCGAGCACATGTGGTGCCTGAGCACATGTTGCCCGCATCTCCCCTCTTGAGATGTGTACTTTCATGCTTTCGTGTCTAACTTTACTCTCTCACTCTCTCTCTCCCCCTCCACACCTAAAAATCCTCCAAATAAAATCTATTTACTTCACTGCTTGTCTACTCCTGAAATTCCTTTCTGCGAGGCGAGACAAGAACCCAGCAACCCTGGGTCCCGAGTGGCAGAGGCGGGTGGGGAGAAAGTGACTGTCTTTCTCCTCCCCGCTTCACATAAGTCACCCGTGGGGCCCACCGACATCACTAGCAGCGCTGACCGGGCCCTTATGCTAAGGGGCTACTGATTTCTTGGCCAATCCTGCTCAGCAACTAATATGCACTTGAGCCTACAAGGTCAGTGCCAATCTTCTGAACAGACGCAAGTCAAAACAGCTTTGCTGACAACACGCCCACGGAATTTCTCATGCCGGACTCTTTACTCTGGCTGCTGCTACTGTTCCTATTTGCTGTCAGGCAAAATTAAATTTTGTTTTGACCTTTGACCCTGCCTACAGGATCTACACAGAGTGAACACACCCCGGTTTACAGGGAGGAGGGGAGAGGGTGACGCGCTGAATGAGCCATGCAGGGCGCAGAGCACACGGGCAGTGCCCTATCCCCCGCCCCCTGCTCTGTGCTGGGTTGGAGTCTCTAGAGCGGGCATTTCCTGGGGTGCTCTGCCACAGGGCTCCCTAAACTATTCTCCTTCCTGTTTCCTGTCCCTCTTTGAAGTATCCCCAGGTCCTTTTGCACTGCCACAGGCTGGAAACACAGGTCCTTCCTTCAAGGTCTCAGCTCTGGGGCCTGGGGCAGCCCCTGAACACACAGGCCCTTTCTTTGAGCAGCCCCTCATTTCTGGCTCGAAGACTTTGAGCTCTTAGCTAGGGCTCCCTCCTATAGCTACCTCTCCCCCCCAAGCCTGCAGGGTTTCCTGAGTCCTTAGCAACTTTCTCTTTTGCTCTTCCAGCAATTGTCTAACCAACTTCCCGAATGAAATCTTCTCTTTTTAAAAATGCTGAGCCTCATCCCAAAAAAGCAAAAGCAAAAAAAAAAAAAAAAGAAGGCTGGAGCGATAGCACAGAGGGTAGGGCGTTTGCCTTGCATGCGGCTGACTCGGGTTCGATTCCCAGCATCCCATATGGTCCCCCGAGCACCGCCAGGAGTAATTCCTAGTGCATGAGCTAGGAGTTACCCCTGTACATCGCCGGGTGTGACCCAAAAAAGCAAAAAATAAATAAATAAAAAATAAAAAAAAATAAAAATGCTGAGCCCCGGTTTCTGGTCTCCTGATAGAGTTAGTCCTTGCACAGGAAGTGGTGTCTGAAATACCGCCAGCCACAATTAGCATTGTCCTTGAGGTGAGGTAGGCCACCTGATCCAGCTCTTTCCACTTCCTGTTCCACCAGGAAAGAACGGCGCTCACCCTCCTTCCTTATCTGGGCCCAAAAGTCAAAACACAAAACCTCTCTCTTCCTTTCCTGAAGAGTGATAAAGGAGGTTTGTTTGTTTGTTTGTTTTAAAAAGAAACTTGAAGTTGGTTTACTTGCCAATATATTAATGTGTTGCCTGAACTGCTGAGAGATTAAGCTCTTAATGCAGTTAAGCTGCCAGGCTGCCCAGGACTGAGTAATTAAGACAACAATGGGGAACAGAATCTTTAACCCAGCAAGAACAGCGGACAAAGGGAACCTAAGTGGGTCTTTCAGAGAGGCAGGCTCTAGCCACAGGCTGGGGCGGATAAGGCCAGAGGGCATTTAAGGCTCAGCTCATTCCCCCCCTGAGTTGGAGCCCAGGAGATCACCAGGTGCTGGAGCCCAGGAGAGCACCCTGGCTTTCGTTTCCCGTCTCCCTAACAACAGGCTCACAGACCAGGGATGCTCTAGGTCCCAAATTCCCAGGCAGCTACTCGGGCGAGAAGGGCACAGCAGGCTGGCGGCCCACGGGCTGGGTTTGAGAGCGGCCGCCTGCAGGAAGAGGCACCTCCAAAGAGGAGGAAGAGGACAGAAGGAACTGAAATGGGAATGGATGTCAGTGATGACCCGGGGCCCAGCTGGCAGACGCAGGCCAGAGCAGCAATGCCGCGGGCTCAGTGTGGGCTTGGGCACTAACTGCCCTGATTGGGGCTCCCGCTATCCACCCTGCATCGGTAGTGGTCAAGTGCCGCACCTGAGCGTTCCCCTCTGCAGAGAGAACTCAGCAGATGCCCAGCTATCCTTTCCCTCCGACCCCCAGTTTTTTATTTTTTGGTGTTTTGGGGCCACACCTGGGGGGGGGGGCGCTCAGGGCAGCTGGGGACCAAACCTGGGTCAACTGCGTGTGAGGCCAAGATTCCTCCCTCAGCCCCGTGATCTCTCTCTCCCATCCCCAATGTGGCCCTGCAGATGTGCCTACTGCCACAACAGAGGGAAGTAGTGGCTCCGGACGAGGACGGGTGCTGAAAAGGAGTGCAAGTGACATGCATGTCACCCCTCTCAGTAACAGCCCTGCAACTCGACAGTGTGAGAAGGAAAGGAGAAAAAGAAAAAAAGTATCTGCCCGAGAGGCAGGCTGGGGGGCGGTAAGGCTGGGGGGCGGGAGGAAAACTGGGGATAGGGGTAGAGGGAGACACTGGTGATGAAACTTTGTATACCTGAAACCCAGTCATGAGTCACTTTGTAACTTTATAATTAGCTGGGATTCACATCATCCTGTTGTTCCTCAACTGCCTCCAGCAGGCACCAGTAACATCTCCTTCCTCCTAGCCCTGAGATTCTAAAAAGTGCCACATTCAAGGCTCTTTCAGGGTTAGGAGAATGAGACCCATCATTGTTATTGGTATTTGGCATATTGGGTACGCCACGGGGAGTTTGCCAGACTCTGCCGTGTGGGCAGGTTACATTCAGTAGCCGGGATTCAACAAAACTAAATAAAGCAGCAACTGGGAAATGCTCCTTCCTTCCCTTCCTCCCTACCCCCCTCTATTACCTACTCACAGCTTGTCCCCAATCATGGGGGGGGGGGGGGGCGTCTGCTCGTGGCTGAGATGCTACAAATGCCAAGTGCCCAAGTACCAACCATCCCCTAGAGCTGTTTCTGCCCTTCCTCCCACCCCCTTGCATCTGTCTGTGGTCAGGCTCCTGGGAGGGTCCCAGCTGGAGCCTGGAGGGTGGAGGGAAGGGTTCTCTCCTCTTCCTAACCTGGTGATACAGTATGAGCAATTTTAGCATCCAGGGAGCATTGAGTTTCAGCCCTAGTGGAGGTGCGGAGATCAGGGCAGGTCAGATGCTGACCCTGCCAGCGAGGACAAAGCCCTGTGCAGCGGGACCCACAGGCATGTTCCTCTGTGGTGGCCAGCCGAGCAGAGACCCGTTTCCACCCCATAGTGAGGCTGCCCAGGTTTGCCACTGAAATGCGCTTTCTGCTGGGTTAGAGACACATGCGCATGAGCCTCTTCGCTGTACCAGGTGGTCCCCATGGCACCAGGGATCGAGCACGGGCCTCTGCGTGCGAGGCCAGCACCTGAGCCCTCGGGACCCTGGCAGATCACCAGCAGCACCTGCATGTCTGCAGGGACTCGGCAGAGCCACCCCAGCCCCCCAGTGAGCTGCAATCCCACCTCCTGTCCTGCCCATTCATCACAATCTCCATCCACGACTCAAAGCACCAGAGTTGCCCGGCTAAGGCTGATCCGCACGTCCCCAGCGTGGCCAGCACTGCTGCCCGGCTTTTCAGTAAATGGCCACACTTCCAGGCTGCGCCCCACCAAACTGTCTCCTCTGCCCTGACCCCTCCAGGGAGTAGGGGTCAGCATGAGAGGGGCTTGGGGGAGCATCCCTGGCACTCCTGGTGGGGTGGGTGGGCCTCCGGGTTGCCAGGCACCACCTCTGGGCTGCTGCAGCCCTCTGAGCGAATTCCCAAATTCCCCAGCCTCGAGACGGGAATTTAAATCAAGGAAAGGAAATGAAAGGAAAAGGAAATCAACAAGGCCCACAGCTCCCTAAGCTTTCTGTTGCTATCTAAAATCAGAGAACTCCGAGGCTGTAGCCATGGGGCACGCTGCTTTCTATTTCCATCAAGGAGTCTCAGAGCGCCTTCCAAGAAGCCCCCCCCAGACCCCCCCCACCCCCCCCGCGGGCTCCCGTAAGCAGCACAGTCCTGTAGTGGGGGACACGGGGGGCGGGGGGCACGCAGCAGCCATGAGGCAGGATCTTATTTTAATGTTTGCGCTGGCTGTGCACCGCAGACACAGGAGCTAGGATGTACCCGGCAACCCCCAGGGCACTGGGGACTCCTAACATGGCACCTCACTGCTTAGCTCCACCTGTGGGCTCTTCACAGGGACTGAGCCACTGGTGGCTTAACGCGATACACTCAGGCAGTCGGGGTGAGCTCTCCCAGCGGAGCTCAGCTCCTGAATGACAGAAGGAACCATGGGGGCCCGGGCTGAGGGCAGCATCAGGCACAACAAGCCTTGCCTGCCTGAGGCTCTGGTTTCCATCCCCGGCACTGCTGAAAGGAAAAAAATAAATGTGGGATGTAGGACTGGAGCTACAGTTCAGCAGGGCGGGCACTTGTCTCGCACACGGCCAAGCCGGGTTCATTTGAGCCTGCCCGGAGTGAATCCTGAGCTCAGAGTCAGGAGCAAGCCCTGAGCAAAGCTGGGTATGGCCCCTCCACCACTACCAAAAAAAAAAAGTGAGATGTGGGTGGGAGGGAGAGAGTACAGGGGTGAAGGCCCTGATATGTAGCTGGCCTGGGCTCAGTCACCAGAATCATATATGCCCCCCCCCCACCCCAGTAGCACCAGCAGTAAGCCCCGAGCACTGCTGGGTCTAGAACACACATATGGGTTTGGCCCCTCCTCACTGTGCCAAGCTGCCAAGGGGCTCCCCCGCCCATGCCACCCTGGCAGGCACAACGGGGACTCCTGGAAACCTGTTTCTGTAATTTAACGAAGATAAGTTCAATTCAGGGCCATTTCTGGAACAAGCTCTGGATGGAGAAACCAACCTCCCTTCCTCTTATTCTTGTGCTTTTGGTCACACCTGGTGGTGCTTGTAGGCTACTCCTGGCTCTGTGCTCAGAGATCACCCTGAGAGGTGCCTGGAGACCCATCTGTGTGCTGGTCAGCCACAGACAAGGCAAGTGCCCAACCCACTGTGCTTCCTGACCCTCCAGAACAAGCTTTCTTTGGAGCTCTCTGTTGAGGTAGGGAAACATCCAGGAGGCATACGTCACGGGAAGTGAGCTCTTCTTTGTCATGAGACCCCCCCACCCTCGCCCCTCTCTACGATGTTCCGTGCCCCCGCCCCAGCACTGGAGAAACCTCCAGGTTGTCCCTTTTCACTTTAAAAACTAGGGTCATGTAAATTCTCCTGTACGCACATTACTATATTCTGGCTTTTCCTTCCTCAAATCTGTCTAATGTTCATTTGTTTGCTCCATCAGGCTAAGATGAGACCAGGGCTAGGGGTGCAAAGTTCCCTACCCCCAAGCAATACGCACACACAGCACCTGCCACTTACTAGGCGCCCGAGGTTGTAGTAGCAATCTGGGTACTTCCTCCTGTGTTTGATGGCCGTCCGGTAACTGTGTTCAGCAGCTTCAAACCGTTTCAGACTGTTCTGCACGATCCCTAAATTCATCCATGCGGCGGCAAAGTCAGGCCTTGGTGCAGAATTTTGAAAATCAGTCAGCAGTGGCCCCAGGCATGGGACTCAGGGGCGAGCATCTGTGCTGCCCGAGGCACCGCCCACTCCCCAGGCACCGCCCACATCTTGGAGGCACCGCCCACACCCCAGCACTGCCCAATCCTGAGCCACTGCCCACAACCTAGAGGCACCGCCCAACCCCGAGACACCGCCTACAGCCTGGAGGCACCGCCCAGTCCCCCAGGTACTGCCTGATGATTCAGCACTGAATTTCTGAACCATCTGGCCAGGTTGGCCAAACGTCACTGGGAGACCTAGAAACGCCAGAGCACAGCTTGGGAGGGGAAAACAAAAAACAAAATAAATGGGGGTGGGTCAAAAAAAGAAAAAAACAAAAGCAACAGAGACCCGCTGCCTCAGAGGTCCCCATGTAGGCTTGCCAGCGGTCACGCCTAAAGCTGCCACTGGAGATGGAGAGACAGTACAGTGGGGAGGGTGCTTGCCTCGCATGTGGCCATCCTGGGTTCCATTCCCAGCACCACATAGGGTCCCCAAGCTCTGCCACAACTGATCCCGGATCACAGAGCCAGGAGTATGCTCTGCACACAGCCAGCTGTGGCCCCAAGACAAAAGGCGAATCCTCCCCCCAAATAGGATACATATGTTTGTTGCAATATTGTTCATACAACAAAACTGGAAGTAATACCAGTTGAATACAAACACACAATGCAGACATTGTGGGATTTTCATGGAAAGAAGCATGATGGGTCAGTGAGAATCAGCGCCAGAGACTAAAATGTGTAAGTCATGTCATGTATGTCAAGAAAAAAAAAATTAAAAAAATAAAGACTTGAGAAAGACTGCTTCATATTCAAAAATCAAGTCTATGGCTTGAGAATGCCTTCTGTTTTGGGATGCACACCGAATTAGTATAACAAAAATAGTAAGGAAAATAGTGTTTGTTCCAGGGCTGCAGAATGCAATAGAAATACACAGAAGGGAAGTCTTAAATGAATACAAATGTTCCATTTCTTAGCATAACTGATGGTACAGTAGGACATGTTCTATTAGTTTTAGAAAGCACATGTTTTGAGTGCTTTTCTGTATCTGAAGTGTATTTCTATTTTTTTTTCTCTCAACAATGCTCAGAGGACCAAGTGGTGCCAGGGATCAAATCTGCACCTCCTGTATACAGAGCCCATAATCAAGCCACAAATAATCTCTTGGACCCCTGTAAAATACATTTCATAATAAAAATGATGTTTTTCAATCAACCTTTGCAAAACATTTTTTTGTACTTTTTTAGGTCATACCCTAAATAAAACTCAGGGCTTACTCCTGGATCTGTGCTCAGGGAATCACTCCCGGCAGGGCTTCGGGGACCATATGAGGTGCCAGGGATTGAGCTCAGGCCGACTTTGTAAAAGGAAACTCGTGCCCTGCCTGCTCCAGCTTCCAAATTTTTTTTTTTTTAAAAAGGAAAGCTTGAACCTAGGAAGGCAAAGGACTTTCTTCACCACTAGCACAGTATAAAGACAATACCTCGGGCTGGACAGATAACGAAGAGGGTGGAAGACACTTAGCTTGCAGGTGCACAACCCCAGTTCAAATCCTCTCTCCACATACGGTCCTTGAGCAGAGAGCCAGGGACAGTCCAGAGCCCCCCCCCCCCCCCCCAGATGTACTCCCGCACCCCACACAGATCAAATAACGTCAAGACAGAGCTTACTGGATCTGCACGGCCAGTGAGAGCAGTTCCTCGGCCTCCTGCAGCTCATTCCTTTCCTTTAAGATATTCCCGAGGTTATTCATGGCATGCACGTACTTGGGATTTAACCTGAGTGGACAGAGGCGCCGGACATCCGTGAGTGGACATCTGAGAATCACCAGAACCTCAGGAAGTGGCACAATCTGTGGAAGCTGGGGTGGGGTGGGGTGGGGTGTCTTTCAGGGAAAGCCCAGAAGCCCAGAAAGTGAAATCAGGAGCCAGACACATAATCCCGTATTGCTGACCCCAGGACAGGGAAATGTCCCACTAGACTAATGAGTCATTTTCCAATTTTGTCTTGCTTGTGCGAACGGGTCATAGTGTTGAAGACCCAAACAGGCCTGGAGGGGGCTTGTCTGCTCCACACCCCGTAGGGTGGGGCACCCCAGGGGAATGCCTGACGTCCAGGGGTATCGGAGGAGATGTGGGGCCCATGATACCTCACGGCCTCCCGGTAGTAGCGGATGGCAGCCGTCTGATTGCCCTTGTCGGCCAGGTTTTTGCCAACATTGTAGTGAACCTGAAAAAAAAAAGAGATAAGAAAGTGGCCAGCAGCTCCTGACCTTTCGTTATTGTTGCTCCAAGTTGGGATCTCCACCATCACGTCTAACTAAAAACAAAGGGGAAAGGAATATAAAACAAAATCCCCAACCCATGTGGATGTAAGCTAAGCCCCTACCGAAACAGCACCCGAACCTTCTTCCCTGTAAGAAAAGCATCAATCAGGGAGGGACAAGCAGATTCGAACTGTCCGTGGCTGGAGGAAATGTGGCAGAGGATGACAGGGATGGGACTTGGCTGGCATGCAGCCAACTGGGGTTCGAATTCCCAGGCATTGCCAGGGGTCACTCCTGAGCACAGAGCCAGACAGTCCCTGAGCACCAGCAGATATGATCCAACCCCGCCACTGCCCCCCTACCCCCCACTGTCCCTCACCCCCAAAGCAAGCTGCCCACGGTTAAGAACCAGCAAGAAGGTCTACCCAGTGGCCAATCTATCCTGGGCTTATATATGGGTCGGGGTTTGAAGAGAAAATTGCCTTCCAGAAGATGCACTGTAAAATACAGCAAAATCCCTTCCCAAGCAATTTCCTTAAAATCACGTTTAAAGAATGCATGCTTTGGCTTCCAGAGAATCTCAAAGATTGCCAGAGCCTGTTTATTCTCGAACTTTCCCTCTCGTTCTGGGGATTTGCATGCTGAGGCAATAAACCTGCACAGAAGCTGCAGATAAAACCACAGGACCCCGTGACATGAATATGCAAATAACCAACAAATAGAAAAAGGCACTTCCAATGCCCTCGTCTTCCCTTGTTTGAGGTTAAGATGTTTTAAGCACAGTCAGAGCCTCTAACCCACCCTGGGTCACTCCTTATGGATACAGCTCTCACGGTGGGGTACAATCCTCTCCATCGTTAAAGGAATTTAGAAATGGGGCCGGGGAGACAGCACCACGGGCTGAGTGCCTGCAAAGTGTGCTTCCCGGGCGGGAGGCCTGGGTTCGACCCCTGCTCCTGCATGGTTCCCGGAGCACTGTAGGGAGTAACCCCCAAGCACAGAGGAGGGAGTAGCACCCCTTCCCCAGCACCACCCCCCTCTTTGTTTGGGAGAAAACAAAGAATTTAGAGATGTATTCAGGTGGATTCACAGTGCAATGGAGTTGGAAACCTTCAGAAACGAAAACAACTGTACATCTAATTAGATGCTTGGTATCTGCGCACAGCAGGCCAACGGATTTAATCTGCATCCCGCTCAGTCCCGAAAACCGAGGGTCTGCCTCCCCCCGAAGCACTGAGGGTAATTCCTCGGCAGACATGACCTCAGTTCTATCTTTGTGGGGTTTTTTTTATATTTTCAGAGAGGCGAGTGTCAGTTTGTCAATCTGGGCCTAATCTTTTTTTTGGTGGGGGGAGGGGCATAGGGGAATTGGGAGTTGGGGGGGGGGTAAACCCATACACAACTGTGCTCAGGGCTTATTTTTGGCTCTGTGCTCAGACATCACTCCTGGTAGGCTCAGGAGACTTTATGGGATGTTGGGATTGAACCTAGGTCAGCCGCCTGCAAGGCCAACGCCCTCCCCACTGAACTATTATTGTTCAGCTCCAATCTGGACCTAGTCTTGGGCCAGGCGACAGCTATTCACTTATCAGTCGAGAATAAAGAGAAACCGGTAGAGAAAGTGGGCCCTTCTCCTCCCTTCCCAAAGCCAGTCTCCACTCCAGACTGCTTTCAAAGAAAGACATTTCAATTCATTCATTCATGTCAGAGCTTTTGAGCCACATCCGTGGCTGCCAGGGGCTACTTCTGGCTCTGTGCTTGGGACTGACCCCTGGCTGTGGTGAGGGGACCATCCATGGTGCCAGGGATCAGGGTGGGCTGTGTACCAGACAAGCGCCTTACCCCTGTACTACCCCTCTGGCCCCTTATGTTTCAATTTATAATGGAAAGTTTTTTTTAAAAAAAGTTTTTTTTTAAAAAAAAACAATACCAGGAGGATTACTCCATAGCTTAGAGGCCAGCCAGGCATTCTAGGGGAAAGGGCAGCTCAGTTAGAGAAGGGAGCACCAAATAAAGGGTGTTTGGAGGATCCTCCCAGGAGGGGAGATGCATGCTGAAAGTAGACTCTGGACTGAACATGTTTGCCACTCAAAGCCTCTTTTGCAGACCACAACACCCAAAAGGAGAGAGAGAACACAAGGGATTGCCCTGCCACAGAGGCAGGGTGAGATGGGAGGGATGGGGGTGGGAGGGATATTATCCATGGTGGTGGAAAATGGGCACTGGTGGAGGGATGGGTATTTGATCATTGTATAATCGAAACCCAAGCACAAAAAATTGTAAATCTACAACTGTACCTCATGGTGTTTCACTAAAAATAAAAAATAAAAAAAAATGGAAATATAAACTATGTAAAAAAAAATCTGTCATGTTTTTGATATGAAGAACCTTCTTCCCCCCCCCCCCACCCCCCCCCCGTGTGCATCCTGAAAGGGTGGTGGTAGCTATTCGGCTTACATGGACAGAGGAAACGACCGAGTATGCAGCTGGACAAGTGAGGAGCATGGCAACAGGAGCCACAACAGATAGGACCTGTCCCTACATAGTGACCCAGTAGGGAGTGTCTGGGTGCACCTGACAGGTATCTGGGCCTTGAGTCTCACCCAACCCCCCAAGAATTGTCACCTATACTTAGCAAGTCATTCCTAACTGTAGTAGCACTGTAGTACTGTCCCCCTGTTGTTCGATTTGCTCGAGCAGGCACCAGTAACATCTCCATTGTGAGACTTGTTACTGCTTTTGGCATATTGAATATGTCATGGGGAACTTGCCGGCTCTGCCAGGCAGACAGGATACTCTCGGTAGCTTGCCGGGTTCTCCGAGAGGGATGGAGGAATCGAACCCAGGTTGGCCACATGCAAGGCAAACGCCCTAACCGCCGGGCAATCCCTCCAGCCCTAACTTGCGGTATCTAGCCCTAATTGGGATTGGGATGGGGTAAGGCAGAGTTGGAAAGGCAATAGGTCAGTAATGCTCAACTCTATGTGATTGGACCATCCTCTTAAGCCGAGACCCTCTATAAAATATGTGTGTACTTGGCAATGAAGTGAGCGGCCATCAGCTGTCTCCTGGACTGGTTTCTCTGTTGGGGAAAAACTGTTCCCCAACAGGCAAACGTGCACCACGCACGTTCTGGTTCTGGGTTCGACACACGCAGCTACTCCCCACCCAACTCCTCACTCCTCTTCCCCACGGGGAGTGGCCTGTGGGCACCATCCCAGGCCAGGCCCTCCCAGCCCCTGAAATGACTAACTAGCTAATGTCCGTGCCTCAGTTTCTCCCTCTTGGAAAAAAACAAAGCCAGTAAGAACCTCCTTCACGAAATCCTTCGAGAGAGGCTACTAGAGAGTAATTACAGAGCCGCCACAAAGAAAATGGAGTTCCTTGCAAAGAAGGATGCTATAAATAGGGAGTAATTACTGTTATTCAAACAGAATTGTGAAAAGAAGGCCAATTGCGAGTGTTTATGAAGTTAAACCACACCAATTTGTTTCAGTAGTATGAAATACATTACCAGGTCAGCAAATCGAATTAATGATAGAAACCATGAAGTCATTCACTCTTATTGAAAGCCTCTGAGTGGTAAAACATGAACAAAACTTTTTTTAAGGGGGGGAGAAGGCACCTGGAGGTGCGCAGAGCTTACTCCTTGCTCAGAGAACACTTTGGGGGCCACATGTGGTCAGGGATCAAACTCTGGTCAGCCATGAGTTAAGACAAATGCTTTAGCCCAGTACTATTTCTCCAGCCCCAACCAGACTTTTTTAATTCCATGAAAAATAATAAGAAATTATCTTTACCTGCTGATTCACATCAGGGCCATCAAGAGACAGTAGATGTCTTAGTTCATTAGTTCTACCATGTAATTTTGCCTGGAATCGTGGCTTTAACTTAAATACAGAACATGAACATGAGATGGAACTCTAGGAATTTCCTTCTTTTTTACTGCCAGACAGAGGGTCCTGTGGACACGTGGCAGGAAGTCCCAGGTCCAGTGGTCCAAGAGAGAGAACGCATAATTACCTAGTAATAATGATCCTCACTATAAGAAAATGCTTCTCACCGAAGCTTTGTGTCCCTTTCCTTTGGAGCCAAGGACATTCTCTTCTTGACATCTAGTGTGATCAAAACTAAAATGAGCTTCCAAGAGCTTGAATACCGGCCCCGGGGGAAAGGCCATGCCAGGACATTCCAGGTGCCATACTGCATTAAGACCTCACAAGAAATCCAGGAGGGCTCTAGAAGTTTAAAACAAGTCCCACATCACCCAGGGAGACACAGACGGTGAAGCAAAGAGCTGGGCCAACCAAGACAGGCGAGAGGCCGGAGCCATAGTATAGCGGGGAGGATGTTGGTCTTGCAAGTGACAGACTTGAGTTTGGTCCCTGGCATCCATATGGCCCTCCGAGCACCTCCAGGAGTAATTCCTGAGTGCAGAGCCAGGAGGAAGCCCTGAGTATCACAGGGTGTACTCAAAGGGAAAAAAGAAAAAAACAAAGAGTAAGACAGGTGAGACAGTGCTCGCAGTAGCCAGCATCTGGCGCTAACTCAGGGACCCTACACAGATGAGCCAAGACATTGTGTGGGAGAATCAAACAGGACGCTCTTGGCCAGGAGAAGGGTGCCATTCTGCAGAGTGCCTCGGTTTGGGTGGGACAGATGGGGGTCAGGGCGAGTCAGAGAGCAGTTGAGACCAGATGATCCTGCTCCTAGCACAGAGGAAACAAAGGGATGAGCCAATCCCTGGTGGAAACACATCCTGATCCACGATCAAGAGAACTGCAACTGGGGCTGCAGCAATAGCACAGCAGGTAGGGCAGTTGCCTTGCGTTTGGCCAACCCGGGATCGATCCCCAGCATCCCATATGGTCCCCTGAGCACTGCCAGGAATAATTCCTGAGTGCATGAAAAAGGAGTAACCCCTGTGCAACGCTGGGTGTGACCCAAAAAGCCAAAAAAAAAAAAAAAAAAGAGAACTGCAACCAAGGGGAGGAGTCAGAGGGGACCATGAGGGTCGTGGTTGGGGGACCGTGAAACACTGGTGGACAGACGTGCATAATATTCTGCCACTCACACAGAGCAGCTTCAATACCACAGTGAATGAGGATACCTCATGCGGGGAAACAGAAGACGAAACAAATTCCTACCACACCGCAGCCACAAAACACAGTGCCCCACTTTCACGAGGCTCCCTTTCCGCCTCCTCCCCCTCTACGCTGACCAGAAGATTCCCCACCACAGTCTTACGAGGCTTTCCGTGAAGCGAACTGCCATCTCTTCATCCCGTCTCTGGCCTGTATCTTCAATTGCCAGGTGGGAGGAGGCTGGAGCGGCTCTGGCCCAACTCAGGCTTCCTCGGGCTCCCAAAACGGCGCTTCCTTTTGCACCACCAATACCCCATCCCAGAAGCGTGGCGTGACCCCTCTGCCCCTACTTCAAAGGCAACTGGCCCCCAGGGGAAGGCGAGGGTCACCTCATTTAACACAGGGATGCAGCGCTTCCCACTGGTGGCTTACACTCAGAAGTGTTTTGCTTTTGGCTTTTCGTTATCATTGGTTTTAGGCCACACTAGGCGATGCTCAGGGCTTACTCCTGGCTCTGTAAGCAGGAATCACACCTGGTAGACTCGAGGGACCCTCTGGGATGCTGGGGATCGAACCCGGGGTCAGCCGCGTGCCAGGCAAGTGCCATGTCCGCTGTCCTATTCTCCGGCCCTCACACTTGATTGTGGTTTAATGAACACGTGATGAAGGACTCTGAGTGTCCCCCTCAGCTCCAGCTCTTGCCGTTTCTTTTCTTTTCTTTTTTTTTTAATTTAAAATTTTTAATAAAACACCATGAGATACAATTACAGACTTACACACTTTCATGATTACGTTTCAGTCATACAATGGGTCGAGCACCCATCTGTCCACCAGTGCCCATTCTCCACCACCAATGTTCCCAAGTATCCCAGGGCTTACTCCTGGCTCTGTAAGCAGGAATCACACCTGGTAGACTCGAGGGACCCTCTGGGATGCTGGGGATCGAACCCGGGGTCAGCCGCGTGCCAGGCAAGTGCCATGTCCGCTGTCCTATTCTCCGGCCCTCACACTTGATTGTGGTTTAATGAACACGTGATGAAGGACTCTGAGTGTCCCCCTCAGCTCCAGCTCTTGCCGTTTCTTTTCTTTTCTTTTTTTTTAATTTAAAATTTTTAATAAAACACCATGAGATACAATTACAGACTTACACACTTTCATGATTACGTTTCAGTCATACAATGGGTCGAGCACCCATCTGTCCACCAGTGCCCATTCTCCACCACCAATGTTCCCAAGTATCCCTCCCGCCACCCCTCTCGCCATGTTTTTTTAAATTTTTTTTTAAATTTTGGGGTCACACCCCGCGAGGCAGAGGGGTAACTCCTGGCTCTGCACTCAGGAGTTACTCCTGGTGGTGCTCAGGAGACCATATGGGATGCTGGGAATCGAACCCCGGTCGGCGGTGTGCAAGGCAAACGCCCTACCCGCTGTGCTATCTCTCCAGCCCCTCCTCTCGCGGTTTCTTTGGGATGATTTGGACGAAGCTGAATTTGAAATCTGTATCATCCAAATCACGGAAAAGAAAAAGAAACGCGGAACACCACCCTCAGATGGGGCCAGGATCTTCTGCTGGTGTTCATCGGTGTTCCCGACCCCTCTGGCTGTGGCTGGGGTTGGGGGGGGTGGGGGGGAGGTGTCGCCGCTGGTGGGGGGATGTCGTGGGGCGGCCGGCCTACCTTGGCGTTCAGGGGACACACGGACAGGGCGCTCCTGAACAACTGCTCCTCGCTGCGCCACTCGCCGCTCCGGACCACGCATCGCAGGACATTGAGCAGCAAGATGCCCAGCACGAGGGCTCCGATGAGTTTCTGGAGGACAGAGACTTAAGGGTCAGCGATCCTGTGGTCAGGGTCGCAGAGGGCGGCGCCCTGGGGCTGGGGGCGGGGCGGAGGGGCGGTACCTTCCTCCGGGTGTGTTTGCTGAGCGCCCCGAAGCCGCAGGTCAGCAGCATGCAGTAGCCCGCGCTGGGCAGGTAGAGCACGCGCTCGGCGACCACGAAGCCCACGCGGAAGAACAGGTTACTGGCGGGCAGGAACGGGATGACCAGGAGTCCCAGGCCCAGCGTCAGCACCCTGGAGAGCGAGACGGGGGCTATGGCCTCACCCGAGCAGGGACTCGGGACTCAGCAATGCCATCAGAGGGAGGGCCAGCCCAGAATCTTGTTTTTACTTATTTTAGTTATGGAATTATTTTAGTTATGGGACCATACGTAGCGCTGAAGGGGGTTATTCCTGGTTCTGTGCGCTTAGGAATCCCTTTTTTTTTCTTTTTTTGCTTTTTGGGTCACACCCAACGACGCATAGGGGTTACTCCTGGCTCATGCACTCAGGAATTACTCCAGGCATTGCTTGGGGGACCATATGGGATGCTAGGAATGGAACCTGGGTCATCTGCATGCAAGGCTAACGCCCTACCCGCCGTGCTATGGCTCTGGCCCCTTAGAGATCCCTCTTGGCGGTGCTCAGGGGACCCTCTGGGATGCCAGGGATGGAACCCAGGGTCAGCCGAGCACCCACACACATCCATGACTGCCTCGGACTCGGCCCATAAATACTTTTGGCCACCAGTAGAGAAAAGGGTGACCTGGGCAAGGGGGAGGGGAGCTTGGCTGCCCTGAACCCCCACGTTGAGGTCACAGCCCATGGCGACTCAGGGCGGCTGGGGATTCTGAGCTGAAGGAACTCATCCCAGTCCTCCAGGTGAAGCTGAGGGCAACCCCTGGACTCGAAGAGCACTGCTGACACCCACGGCCACCATCCTTCCCAGCTCCCACCAACTGTGGAGGTGCGAGGCAGAGGCTGTGTCTCACCTTCTCCGGTGGCTGTCCCCCGAGCACAGGGCCTGGCCTGTGAGGCCGATGAGGCAGAACCATAGGGCGGCGAGGGCCACCACCCGCCAGTCGCCCGCGGACTTGATGAGGGGGACGCAGCCCATGGACCAGTCAAAGCACAGCCACCAGGGGCAGAGCAGCAGCCAGGCGCTGAGCGCGTAGTAGTAATTGTAGTTTATGGCCTGTCGGTCAAGAGCAAAGTGGACAGTGGTTGGACTGTGGATTTGTAAAAACAAGCACCAAAGGCGGTCTTTCTTTCTTTCTTTTTGGGTCACACCCGGTGAGGCACAGGCGTTACTTCTGGCTTTGCACTCAGGAATTACTCCTGGCGGTGCTCGGGGGACCATATGGGATGCTGGGAATTGAACCTGGGTCGGCCACATGCAAGGCAAGCACCCTACCTGCTGTACTATTGCTCCAGCCCCACTTTCTTTCTTCCATTTTCTGGGGGGATCCATAGGCTTCTGTTTGAGGGGAGCCGTGGCAAGAAGTCGCCTTTGGCGACATGTCAAGTCACCAGACTCGGGGGTACCCTTGGTTCCATCATCGAAGGTGAGTCAGGGGAATAAAAACCCGGGATTCAGGGTCCCGTGGGAGCCCTGGAATCTGGGGTGGCCACTCAGAGGGCAGGTAGGTGAGAATGCGCAGCTGACACCCTGGTCTTGGGAAATGCCATCGATCACCAGAAGGAACCTCAACAATGGGATTTCCAAGGCCATGGCCATAACCATAACCAAGGTAACTGTGCCCAAACATGGTGAGGCCAGGCTTCTTCTAAAGTGAGACACTTCCAGGAGGCCAGGGCAGAATGGACAGACCTACTGTTTTTTTTTTTTTTAATTTTTTTATTTGTTTTTGCTTTTTGGGTCACACCCAGCCATGCTCCAGGGCTTACTCCTGGCTCTGCACTCAGGAATTACTCCTGGTGGTGTTAGGGTGACCATATGGGATGCTGGGAATCGGACCTGAGTCAGCCATGTGCAAAGCAAATACCCTACCCGCTGTGCTATTGCTCCAGCCCCGGATCCACTGTTATGCTTGGAACAAAATCCAAGTAACCCCCGCCCCCCCAATCCTCTCACTCCCTTCTCAGAGAACCTGACCAAGAAAGCATGGTGGGGTTTAACGTCTTAGGGATCATGAGGATGAGCTGGACTGGGGATCATGTGACAAAGGGGACCGAGTTTCTGAAAGTTCGGGGGACAAAAAGTCACACAAGCAGGTGTGTATGTGTGTGTGTGTGTGTGTGTGTGTGTGTGTGTTTATGCACGTGCGTGCCTGTGTGTATGTGTGTGTGGCAGGGGATGCTCTGAACTCACGCGGACCAGCATGCTGTCGGCAAAGGAGGCGGGGTTGTCCACCTCGGTGAAGGCTGGCGGCCCGGTGCCCATCATGGTCCAGCGCACGTACAGCAGCCCGGCACCCCCTGCCGCCAGCAGGCCCATCCTGGAGAGGAGACCGCCACTCCGGAGCGCGCCCAGGTTCTGTAAGGACAGTGTAGACGTTCACGCCATGGTGGTCCCACCCTCCTGACAGTGGGCAGGAAAGAGCTGCTGGCCGGGTCACAGCTCAAAATCCAAAGAGCCCTTTGAAAAGTGGTATTTTCCACCCACTGGGGCGGAGAAGTTGTCCAGGGCTGGTGACACCGCGGGCCATACTCACCTCTACCGACTTGCTCTTGTGCAGTAGCTTCTGGATGATTTCCAGAATGTTCAATTTGCCTATCACCAAGATGTCAAAGATGGCATTCAAGCCCTAAGGAAGCAGAAGAAGGCGTCAGAGGCACACTCCGACGAGGAGGTAATGACACTTGCTTTATGCTGCCAACCAACAGTGCAGTAGATTAGACCCGGACGGGAGACCCCGGGGCCCACCTCCAGCCCCTGTGTGCCTGGGGTCAAGTCACATCACATTTATTATCTGGCTAATTCTGTCACTGCAATGTTAACATCTTCATGAGAGTGCATGAAAGGGATTCAAGGACAGCTAGAAACTGGGAACCCACAAGACTCCCACTCCCATCGGGCCCTCTTCCCTTGTTTTCTCCCCTTTTCTATAAAAGTTCTCCTGGGTCAGGGGTAGCTCAGAGGGCTGGTTACATGTAGGAGGCCCAGATTTGGTCCCTGGTGCTGTATGGGGCCCTGCGCCATGAGACTCCCCCAAGTTCTGCTGGGTATGCACCACCCCCTGAAAAACTACCTCTACCTCCTCTCCCCGCCCCCAAATCAAAAACCAAAACGAAAAACAGTCCATTAATTGATGCAACAAAGTGGTCCTCGCTGAGTGCCTCAAGGCAGCTAAAGCAGAAGCGGAGCACTGATAGTGAGTTCTCACCCAACATCCAAGACAGGGTCTCAGAGACCACTCCTGAAGCAAAGCCACATCAGATGAACCCAGCTGGACTGCGGGCTCATGGACGCAAGCCAAGGTCCGCTTCCAACAACGAATTTCATCACCCCAGTTTTCTTGTTTATTATAGGGCCACCCCTGTGCTCAGGGATGGCCCCTGGCTCTGCACTTGGTGGCCATTCCTGGTGGTGCTCAAGGGACCATATGAGATGCCAGGATTTGAACCCAGCTTGGCCACAGGCAAGGCAAGTGCTGTACTATCTCGGGCCTCCCTCTCCCGCACTTCTAAATGAAGCCCGCGTCACATCTAAGGGGCAGTGACCATTTGTACTCATTCCTCCGGCTGGGCCCATGGTGGGGGCCCACCCTACACAGACTACCCTCCTTGGCACACACCCACACTTGTCCCAGCTGGGGCCATGATACACCGAGGCACCTTCCACACACCTCTCTGGGGTATGGGAGGAAGTTAAGAGTTGTGGGGGAAAGCCCAGATGTAGGACTGCGATCCCTCAGCGTGGATGGCGGCCTGGCAGGCACCCGGGGTGTTTTGTTCAATTTTAGTGTATGTGCTGCTGAAGCAAGCACATGCACTGACTAACATTTGGTCCTCCATATGGTCCCATATGGTCCCCCTTCCTATGTATCCTATCCCTGAACAGTCACATAGACACTGACTTTCCATATTTGGTTCGGGGGCCCAATCTGCCAGTGCTCATGGCTGACTCCTGACTGCACTCAGGAATCACCCCTGGAAGGTGCTGGGGGACCAGACGGGATGTGGGGAATTGAACCTGGGTCAGTTGTGAGTAAGGTAAGTGCCCTCCCTGGGGTCATTTTTTTAAATTCCTTCCTTCTTTCCTTCCCTCCCTCCCTCCCTCCCTCCCTCCCTCCCTTCCTTCCTTCCTTCCTTCCTTCCTTCCTTCCTTCCTTCCTTCCTTCCTTTCCTTCCTTTTTGGGTCACACCCAGAGATGCTCAGGGGTTGCTCCTGGCTTTGCACTCAGGAATCACTCCTGGTAGTGCTTGGGGGACCATATGGGATGCTGGGAATCGAATCCGGGTCGGCCATGTGCAAGGCAAATGCCCTACCCACTGTGTTATTGCTCTAGCCCCCTGATGGACCCTTTTTGTATTAGTCAATGATCTGATGGACCAACATTTCACTGGATGAAGCAGTGTAAAGGGCTGCTGAGCCTCCAGTTTCTGATCAAAGTAGATCCCTGGACAGTCACATAGACACTGAGTTTCTATACTTGGCAGCACGGCCTCAGGGAGCAGAATCCTCACTCCAGGGGAACAAGGCGTTCAGTAGTCCATTGTGCCTACAGCCACAGCTGCCACAGGCTAATGCTGTGTGTGTGTGTGGGGGGGGGGGGGGGGGGTGGGAGGTCCTTCAGGGGCTTTATGGCAAAGAATACCAGAAACCGCCTGAAACCAGCGAAATTTGTGACTATCCAAGCGAGGCTGACATCTCTACTTGACCCTCTCCCTGAGAGTCTGTGAGCCATTCACCATCCAATCCCAGGTTGGCGTGGGCCATCTTCCCAAGCATCCTGGTTTTATCCACCCAGGTGCCCATGATGTCTGTAGGTCATACAAGATCATTCTCCATGGCTGTGAAGCACTTTCCAGAAGGTAGAAGGTTCTGCTGAGCTGCTGCTGTCTTCTTACGTATCGTCATATCTGTCACCTTGACAACAGTCTCCTTGGGGGATTGGAGTGTGTGGGCAGAGGGAGGTCGGAGCCCAACGAACCGGTCACAACTCCTCCCTTCATCAAAATGTTCTGTTCTCACTGTTCCTCCATATAAGTAGACCTAACTCCTAAAACTACGTGCTCAGGGGCTTACTCCTGGCTCCCTGCTCCATGGTTACTCCTGATGGTGCTCGGGGGTCCTAGGTAGTACCGGGGATCAAGCAGGGCTCAGCCGCATGCTAGCTGCTCCCAACCTAATTCTGTTTTTGGATTTTGCTTTTGGGTCATACCCGGGGATGCTCAGGGGTTACTTCTGGCTCTCTACTCAGGAATCACACTCGGCAGTGCTCAGGGGATGATCTGGGATGCCAGGGATCGAACGTGGGTTGGCGCATGCAAATCAAGCATCTTACCCACTGCCCTCTCTCTCTCCGGCTCCCAAACTAATTCTTAGTTTTATCTCAATTGTTGTTTGCTGTAGAGCATGGCAACAGGTGCCAGAGCAGATAGATCTGTCCCTGCATAGCAGAGAAGACCTGTCCCTGCACAGGGACCCAGTAGGAAGGGTCTGGGAGCATTTGACATGCACCAGGTATCTAGCTTTGAGTCTCACCCAATCCCCCCAAGAATTGTCACCTACGCTTAGGAGTCATCCCTAACTGCAGCTTCTAGCCCTAATTGGGATTGGCCAGGGCAAAGCAGAGTTGGAAAGGTGATAGGTCAGTAATGCTCAACTTTATGTAATTGGATCATCCTCTTAAGCCGAGAGCCCCTATAAAATATGTGTGCATTTGGCAATAAAGTGAGTGGCCATCAGCTGACCCCTGGAGTGGTTTCTCCACGAACCTGTCATCCTTTGCCCCACATCCGACCGGACCCAGTGCACAACCTGTCTGGGCACGTTGGGGAAAAACTTTTCCCCAACAGTTCTCAAAGTCACCTTGGAGGCTTGTGGATGGGAGACTCTGATTCAGGAGATCCATGGGTCTGAGAGCTAGATTTCTTTTCTTTACTTTTTTCTGACCCTAAATTGTATTGTCTTTTTTTTCTCCCCAAATTTTTATGTAGACACTGTGATTTACAATGCTATGAATAACAGCATTTCAGGCTTTTATTTTTATTTATTACAAGCGGCCAACATGGCCGACCCAAGTTCGATTCCTCCGCCCCTCTCGGAGAGCCCGGCAAGCTACCGAGAGTATTCGATATGCCAGACACAGTAACAACAAAGTCTCCAATGGAGACGTTACTGGGCCCGCTGGAGCAAATCGACGATCAACGGGAGGGCCTTTACCTTTACCTTTTACCTTTATTATTTTTAAATTTCCTTTCTCCTTTGTCTTTGGATCACACCCAGCAATGCTCAGGTGGTGCCCGTTCCTGGCTGGGTGCTCAGGGTCAGGGCAAACAGGGCTGGCATCTGGGACTCCCACATACAAAGCACACTCTAGCCTGCTGAGCGGGCTCTCTGCTCCTTCTTAACTAACTGTTCTAAAACTTGTTTCAGTGGTGACACATGATTTTATTTGAATATATGTGTGCATCTGGGCTGGAGCGATAGCACAGCGGTAGGGTGTTTGCCTTGCGCACAGCCAGCCTGGCCGAGCTGGGTTCGATTCCTCCACCCCTCTCGGAGAGCCTGGCAAGCTACCTAGAGTATCTCGCCCGCGTGGCAATGCCAAACACAGTAACAACAAGTCTCAAAATGGAGACGTTAGTGGGCCTGCTCAATCGAGCAAATCGATGAACATTGGGAGGACAGTGTTTGTGTTTGTTTATATGTGTGCATGTGTATGTGTGTGTGTGTGTGTGTGTGTGTGTGTGTGTGTGTGTGTATAGTTGTTGTTGTTGTTGTTGTTTGTTTTGGGGCCACATCCAGCCGTGCTCAGGGATTACTCCTGGCTCTGCACTAAGCAACTTCTCCTGGCAGTGCTTGGGGGACCATACGGGATGCCAGGGACTGAACATAGTTCTGCCACATGCAAGGCAAACGCACTACCCGCTGTACTATCCCTCCAGACCTAGTAAAATGTGTTTTAATTCTATCTTCACTCTCAAGTAAGTCAACTCTATTTTACATATTTTGTTTGTTTTTTAAGAAAAATCTTGCCGTACTCAGGGGCTGCTCCAGTCTCTGTGTTCAAGAGTACTGCCTGGCGGTGCTCTGGAGATTTGGTGCCAGAGATTTGAAAATGGGGTTATCCACATGTAAGGCAAGCACCTTACCCCCGGTCTGTCTATTTGGCCCCATTATTTTACTAGTATTTTAAAAACATTTTATTTGAAGCTCTATGACTTAAATGTTGTTAATGATAGGGCTTCATGCATACAAAGTTTTAACATCATTCCCTTCACTATGATTTTTATTGTCTGACAGAGAATAAGTCTGGGCTGGAGTGATAGCACAGCGGTAGGGCGTTCGCCTTACAAGCGGCCAACATGGCCGACCCGAGTTCGATTCCTCCGCCCCTCTCGGAGAGCCCGGCAAGCTACCGAGAGTATTCGATATGCCAGACACAGTAACAACAAAGTCTCCAATGGAGACGTTACTGGGCCCGCTGGAGCAAATCGACGATCAACGGGAGGGCCTTCTCCTTCACTTAAGACTCTAAATTTCTAATAAGCTTCCGGAGAAGCAGAAGTCCCCAAACTACACTTGTTTCAGTGGTGACACATGATTTTATTTGAATATATGTGTGCATCTGGGCTGGAGCGATAGCACAGCAGTAGGGTGTTTGCCTTGCACGCAGCCAGCCTGGCCGAGCCGGGTTCGATTCCTCCGCCCCTCTCGGAGAGCCCGGCAAGCTACCAAGAGTATCACCACTTTGAGAATTTAGTGTAGTGATTCTCTGTCCCCCAAGGAGGCCAGCTAAGTCTGGAGCTATCTTGGGTGGTCAGAACTGAGTGTGGGTTCACTAACCACCGATGACTTCCAGAAGGGGGATGCCAGGCTGGCTGAGAAGTCACTTGCAATGCACAAGACATTCCCCCAAAAGGAAGGATGATTTGGCCTCAGATGTCAGTAATGCCAAAGTTGAGAAATAGTGGTTTAGAGTAAACATATTCTGTTTTTCCTGTTTTTTTTTTTTTTTTTGGCTTTTTGGGTCACATCTGGCGATGTACAGGGGTTACTCCTGGCTCTGCACTCAGGAGTTACTCCTGGCGGTGCTCAGGGGACCATATGGGATGCTGGGAATCGAACCCGGGTTGGCTGTGTGCAAGGCAAATGCCCTACCCGCTGTGCTATTGCTTCAGCCTTTGTTTTTACTTTTTTAATTAAGAAACTTTTGGGACCACACCCAGCGGTGCTCAGGACAGCCCGGGCCGGTTCTTGATGAAACATACCTGGTGTCAGGGATTGAACCTGGGCAGCTACCCAGTATGACTTACACCCCGCAGTGGTACCATACTGGCTTACTCCTTGGCTCTAGAGTAAACCTTAAAAAAGTACCCCAGGGTATTGTCTTGTCTCTTCACCCAACTTCCTAGCGCCTCACCCTTACATCTTGCAGGTGAAGAAAAGCACTGCTCTCTGCTTTGATTTGTACGCCTCCCCCCCCCACCCCCCAAAAAAGTCTCCTGCTTTCCCAAATTACTTTTTTTGGGGAGAAGGACTGTCATCCCGTCCTTGTTTTCCACTTCTCTATGGCTGCCCTCACCCCTAAGTTCCCTTCTCACAAAGGCAGGCAGAACTGGGAAGAGATTGGAGGAGCCAAGGGGCAGAGGGGGACCCTGTACCCGAACTCGGCAGAGATGTGCACACGTACCATGAAGAACTCTCTCCCACATTTCCTGTCCCGCAGCGCCTGAGCCCCAGGAGGCCTTGCCTCTCCCTTACTTCCGGCTCTATAGCTCCTGCTGGGTCGGACAGGATGGGCTCAAAACTCAGGCCCCACCCAGGGGCAGGAGAGCACTCTCGAACGCCAACCCCTCCTCTTCCCACCTTTCTGCGGGAACTCACCAGAAGCTGCTCCGGCCCCAGGAGCTTCCCACTTTGTCTCTCCACCTACAGGAGACCCCGGCACCCATGGGTGTCTCTGGCTGCAGGCTAGCTGGCGGGGTGCCCCTGGGTCTTACCAGCACGGTGATCCCTTGCTCCTTGCACAGCATGGCCACGGCCCCCAGGAGGACACTCAGCAGCACCCAGCACGTGCGGTGTGTTCCCTCCTTGTGACCTGCCAGTTGAGAGCAACATCAACGTCACATGGGCTGGCTGGGCGCGCCCCAGAAATTCTGAGCATGCACTGTCCACCCCAGGGCTATACGTGATATCCCGGCCCTGTGCCTAGAGTTCTCAGCATACACATTAAAATCTAGGTGTACCCGAGTGACTCGAGGCGTGCACCTTCGATTCAGAGAGTGTACATTCAAATCTAGGCGTACAGATTTTAGTACTATAAGTTTTAGTAGGTGACTTAAATTCCAAGTGTGAACCTTAAATTCTTTTCTTTTTCTAATTTCATCATCTTGGAATTAAAACCCACCATAAAATTATTGATGACTGGGTTTCAGGCATACAATACAATGTTTGAAGACTGATGTCCACTTCCATCCAACAGTGACCTCCACTCCTCATTTGCTTCCCACCCCAGCTGTCTGCTTCAACGAGAAGCAACTTTTTCTTTTTAAACATTTCTTGGGATATGCCTCTTAAATTGCAGACGGGCACCTCAAATTAGAAGTATGTACCTTAAATTCTAGGCATGCACTTTGAATTTCAAATTCTAAGTGTATCCTTTAAATTCTAAGAATGGGGGTGGGGGGCTGGAGAGGTAGCACAGGAGGTAGGGCATTTGCCTTGCATGTGTCCGACCCGGGTTCAATCCCATATGGTCCCCTGAGCACTGCCAGGAGTAACTCCTGAGTGCAGAGCCAGGAGGAACTCCTTAACATTGCTGGGTGTCACCCATAAAAGCAAAATATAAATAAATAACAAAGCAAATGCATTTAAAAAAAAATTCTAGGAATAGGGGCTGGAAAGAGTACAGGGGTTAAGGTCCTCCCTTTGCTGACCCGGGTTTGATTCCTCGCATGGCCAGGAGTGTCTCCTAAGCACAAAGCCAGGAATAGCCTCAGTGCTGCTGAGTGTGGCACCCACTAAGCAAGCATGTAAACTTCCTTTATTTAACAAGGCTTTGGGGTCTAGGAGATGCTCCAAGGGCTCGAGCACAAGCCCGGTGGCCAGGGCACCACCAGCAGCAGCCTGGCTGATCCGGATACCCAGACCACAGGAGCCTGAGCAAGGCTGGGCAGTGTGTGGGAGGTTGGCTCTGCCTTTCTTTTGCTTTTGCTCTGGGGCCCACTCCCAGCTGTACCCAGGGCTTCCTTCAGTCTGTGCTCAGGGATTCTGCCTGGTGGGGTTCAGGTGCCCAGGGATCAAAGCCAGGGTGGCCACATGCGAGGTTAATAGTCCACCTGCTGCACGGGGCTCTGCCCGGGCCCTTCCTTCCCAAGCAGCACTTCTTGAATGTCCCCACTCGTGACCCCTTTCGCCACCTGAGTGTTTTTGTTTCTTTGGAGGGGTGGGGTTTGGGCTACACCCAGAGGCGCTCAGGGATTACTCCTGGTGGGGCTCAGGGCTGGTTATGTGCAAGGTAAGTGCCTTAACCCCTGTTCTATGTCTCCAGCTTCAAAAGCTTTTATTTATTTATTTTTTTTGGTGGGGTCAGGGATTAGGATCCTACACATCTGTGCTCAGGGACCATTTGTGGTGCTGAGGATCAAACTCATATTGGCCACATTCAAGGCAAGTGCCCCACTGGCTGCTCTTTCTCAGGGTCCGAGTTGCGATTCTTGAGTTCGTACAACCTCTAGTTAATGCTACTAGAATGTTTCGGACTCTCTCACTTTATTTATTTACTTATTTTTTTTTGCCTTTTTGGGTCCCACCCAGTGATACTCAGGGGTTACTCCTGGCTCTGCCCTCAGGAATTATTCCTGGTGGTGCTCAGGGGACCATATGGGATGCCGGAGATCGAATCCGGGTTGGCTGCATGCAAGGCAAATGCCCGACCCGCTCTACTATCGGTCCAGCCCCTTCAAGAGCTTTTTGAAACTAATTTTTCTTATCGTTTCAGGGACTTGGTTATGACAGTGTTAACTCTTCATGCTCTGCAGCACGAGGTTTCGGTTTGAACCCTGGACCCCAGGGTGCCCCCAACAGTGCTAAAGGAGTCCCTGAGCACAGAGCCAGAGGTAGAACCCTAAACACTGCTGGGTGTAGCCCCCAAACGAAAAGAAATGGGGGAAAAAAACAGAGGCTGTGAAATGAGTGATATCGAAGACCTTGTTTTGGGGGGCTGGGAGATAGCACAGTGGGTAAGGTGGGTAAGGGGGCATGCGGCTGACTCGGGTTCGAGCCTTGGTACATACAGGGTCTCCTGAGTCTCACCTGAGCACTGAGCCAGGAGTAAGTCATGAGCACAGCCAGATGTGGCTGGAAACAAAACAAACAAAACCCACAACAGAAAAACAACCATATATATATTTTTTCTTTCATTTAAAAAATGTAATAGGAAAAAATATATAATAGGAGCTGGAGCGATAGCACAGCGGTAGGGCATTTGCCTTGCATGCAGCAGACCCAGGCTGAATCCCCGGCATCCCGTTTCCCTAAGGAAATGGCTTGGTCGTCATCGTCCCCAGCCATGAGCAAGGAGCAGCCCCTCGGGGGATCCCATATGGTCCCCTGAGCACCGCCAGAAGTAATTCCTGAGTGCAGAGCCAGGAGGAACCCCTGAGCATCGCCGGGTGTGACCCCCACCTCCCAAAAAATATTAGCTTAGAACTTAGATTCTTTTTGACAGTGTTGCCAAGCAATGTTCAGCAGACCTGGGACTTCTCCCGGTGATTCTCGCCCAACAGAACCGGCAAAGAACATGGGATGTGGGGTGACATGAGGCTTCTGCAGGGTCAGGGTGAACTGGGACCCTCTGGTTCTGCCTGGGGTCCTCCAGGCTGTACCCGACTGTGCTCAGAGGACCGTGATGCCAGGGACAGGCTGGCCCAGCAGGGACCTTAGTCCCGTGGGATCTCTGTGGCCTGCTGGGACTCGCTCAGAGCCAGTACATTTCCTTTGGGGATAGATTCTCTCCACTCCCCACTGGGGAGATTAAATCTTTTTCTCTTCCAAGTCCTAAATCCTGTGAGACATGGATCTGAAGGGCCTTACTTAGGAAAGCACTAGTTTCAGTGACTCTAACCGGGTCTCTCAAGGGGAGAGGCCAATTCCAACGCTAAGTAAGAACCTCAGGTCGAAAGTAAATGTTGTTAGGATGATGGAGGGCGGGTGGCAGGAGGGATACTGGAACACTAGTGGGTGGAGAATGGGCACTGGTGGAGTGATGGCTACTCGATCATTGTATGACTGAAACGTAAGCACCAAAGTTTTTAAGTCTGTAACCGTACCTCATGGTGATTCATTAAAAAAAATTTTTTTTTAAAAGGCGTTAGGATGATTCATCACCAGAAGACTGATTTTCTTCAAGGACACAGGGAATAATAACCAGTCCATCACAAACTCCAGGTATTTACTGTTTCTCACCCTACCCCCTTTTTTCAAATCCTCTATTGGTTTTGGAACAAGTCTCAGCAATGCTGAGGGGCTGCTCCTTGCTCGTGGCTGGGGACGATGACGACCAAGCCATTTCTTTAGCCCGACTGTTGCTAAGAAAATGTGTATTTTCCAAAGGAAAGACATTTCCTTTTATGAAAAGAAAAAAACAAAAACAAAAAAAGATTCTGCCGCCAAAGATCTAGCTTGGAAATATTCAATTTAGGCACTTAAAAAAAAAAAAGGCAGACAGAAAGGTTATGTGAGTAGATTTTTTTTTCCCATTTTCTGAAAATGTCAGGATTCCACAGGTGAGTGCAGAATTACTTGTTAATAAGCCCAGGCAGTTTAAAAATTGTCAAGAGCTTTCTAATAGAGACATCTGAGCTATAAAGAAAACCAGCGAGATAATACCCCCCAAAAATGTATTCCCTGGATGAAACTTTTTATCTATTTAAATCATTAATTTCAGAGGATTCAACATTTTTGTCCTTTTAAGAAATTTAAAATCTACTCCGCTCTGAGAGCTTTCCGCAGACTTCAAGTCTATCTGCAGCTCCTGGTGGACCTTTCTTTGAATTTAAGCTCAGATCCAAAAATAAAAATCAGGTCAAATACTCTAAAAATTAAGTCTGAACAATGAGCAGCGTTATTATTTGTAATAACAATAATAATCCCGGACTGAACACCTGCCTGTTGGAGACAGTGCTGCCTTGAGCAGAATATTTCTGATCCCATGGAAGGAAAATGCAAACCATGGGTCAAAGGCTCATCATTGCTCCAACAGGAAATGAGACTTTTCTCCATGGAGGGCAGAGGGGTGGGTCTGGCATGGTCCTCGCTGAGTGACAGGGAAAAAACGCAAATGTGCAAACTATTCCTTTTACAGTTTTAAACTCTGGGTGAAAACAGATACACTGGGGCTGGAGCGATAGTACAGCACGGAGGGCATTTGCCTTGCATGCGGCCAACCCAGGTTGGATCCCTGGCATCCCATATGGTCCCCCAAGCACTGCCAGGAGTAATTCCTGAGTGCAGAGCCAGGAGTAACCCCTGAGCATCGCTGGGTGTGACCCCTCTTCCCCAAAAAAATAGAGAGTAAAAGTTCTAGCTGGGCCCAGGGGGGCTCAGTGACAGAAGGTGCCTTCGTTCCAACTGTGAGGCCCTGAGTTCGATCCTGGTGCTACCCACATACACAGAGCACGTTCCTTGATGAACCTTCGGTGGCCTAGCAGTGCATGATCCCTGGTGTGCAGCCAATGTGAGCACTGCAGCTGAAATCCACCCAACTCCTGGTGGGCACAAGCACTAGCTCGGCCACTGAAGAGCGTGAAGCCAGATGAGTACCATGCTCGAATGTGTAAGCACTGCTACGAGAGCTCAAGTCCCACAAAAAAGGGTGTGTGGGACCAGCCTCCCGATGTCCACGGCGGGGAGGGAGGGAAAAACATCCCCATCACAGGAGAAAAATGGTTACAGGTATGTAGGCTGTAAGGGAACAAGAGGGAAGCATCCCAGAGAGTCAAGAGCCAGGAAAGGGGTAAAGGCGTTTACGTTGCCTCCATGGACCAGGGTGGAAGGGGCAGAAGGAAATGGGAGGGAAGGACATCAATTAGACCTCCAGTGATTGGTCACGGCATAGAGACATCAAATCACGATGCAGTGGGCCATCACGAGACTGATAGGGTGTGTGAAAGGTAACTCAGTTCCAGGCCAGGGAGACAGAGCAAAGGGTTGGAGCATGTGCCTGGCCCCTGGAAGCCCCGAGACCCAGCATGGTGGCCCCCAGCCACCCTTAGAAGACCAATAACAGCAAATAACAAAGCTGATTCTCAGGGAAATGAACCCTAACTGATGGCACAAAGGCCACAGACCTCATTTCTGCTTAGCAAGGTGGGGCACTTAAAGAGTGCCACTAAGGGGTCCAGGGAGGAAAGCTGGTGGGAAGGATGGGGAACCAGAACATTCCAACGTGGGAGCAGGGACAGGGAGAGCACTCCGAGGATCAAAGCTTAATTGTAATTTAAAAAAAAATTGCCGGGGTGATAATGTAGTAGTAGGGTGCTTGCCTTGCAGGTGGCCAACCCGGGTTCGATCCAGCATCCCCTGTGGTCCCCAAGCTCTGCCTGGGGACTAAGTAATTCCTTAGTGCAGAGCCAGGAGTAAGCCCTGAGCACTGCCAAAACAAAAACCCAAACCAAACCAAACCAAAATATCAGATTGTACGCCCCTGATGGGAAGGGCTGTTTCTGTCCCCAGCAGTGCCTGGGCTCTGTCAGTCGGGGAAGGCTCTGACCGTCTGCTGGGTCAGGACAGAGCTGGAGACAGTCCCCGGGAATGCCAGGAATCACCCCCCACCCCTGGCCCCCGCCTGGGAGCGAACAGGCAGTGCTGCAGAAAGGCCAGCTCCTCTGAGAGGAAACAAGAGCAGTGGGGGCTAGTGGTTGAGGGCTGTTATCTAGCAACAAAGACGTTTCCATCCTCCGCACACCCAGAGAGCTTACCCGGAAGTGTGCAGCAGAGAGAAGGCGCAAAAACAGACGCCCTGGAAACGGGGAGAAGGAAGGGGAGAGAAGAGAGGTGAGAGGAGGGAAAGGGAGGGGAGAGGAGGGGAAGAGAGAGGAGATGGGAAGGGAAGAAGGGATTGGGGAGAAAAGGGAGGAAGGGAGGGAGGAGGGGAGAGAAGGGAAGGAGAGGGAGGGAAGCATCCCAGAGACAGTGAAGAGCCAGGAGAAGGGTAAAGGCATTTGCGTTGCCCCCCTTGGACCCTCCTTCCATTCTAGCCTCACATATGGCCCTCCCATCCCGACCCCTGCTTGGCCAGGAGCAATTCTGAGCACAGAGGCCCCAGCAGCATCGTCAAATCAAGACAAGGAAGGGGAGGGCTGAGTGGGGGAGGGAGAGGGAAGGGGCCACTTTGAGGTGGGGGCAGCTCCTGGCCTCCTGCCTGAAGTAAGGGAAGCCCCTCCCTCTCCGCCCCCCACTGCTGACCTCTCCCATCTCCTGCTGAGAGGGAAGAGAAGGAACAAAAGGAAGGGAGGGTCCCGTCCAGTAGCCGCTCAAACCCCAGGAGAGGGACTTCCTGGTCTCCAATTATTCTAGGACAGGGGACCCAGGGTCTGGTCCAGAATGACTTTCAGGGCATGTGGAGGACACACCCTCTCGCTTTCCCTTTTCCAAAGATGAAATAAGGTGCCGGGAGCTTTGTGAAGACCAGGTCTCTGCTTTCCCCCAGGAAGCTGTGCAAGAACCAATAAGCAAGCCCAATCTGGCGACCAGAGGTCAACAACCAAAGTGTTCTGGAACAATCCATTGGTCTCTCAACTATTTCAAGCAGATGGGACTGAATGTGATCTCTCCCCCCTCCCCTACTTCTCTCTCTCTCTTCTCTCCCTTTCTCCACTCTCAATCCCTCTTCTCTTTCTCCTGTCTCTCCTATGTCTCATCTCTGTCTCCCCTCTCTCTCTCCTCTTTCTTCTCTCCCTCGCTCTCCTCTTCTCCTCTCCCCCCACCCCCCACTCTCTCCTGAGCCCAGATTCTCACACATGCCAGCCTTGTGCCTTCCCTCAGAGCTGTGCCCCGACTCTTCGCATTTCTGACAGGGCTTCCTTTCGTAGATGCCATCTTCCCCATTGCTTCTGGTGCACAGGAGAATTCCCTACAAATGTTTATATTCTTTTTTTCTTTTCGAAGGGTTTTTTGGACCATACCTGGCGATGCTCATGGGCTCACTCCTGGCTCTGTGCTCCCAGGATCACACCTGGAGGGGCTTGGGGAACACTCTGGGATGCTGGGTATCCAACCTGAGACCACCGCATGATGGCAAGCGCCTCTCCACTGGCTCCGATACCAAATATTCAAGTTCTCAGCATCAGAGGCCTCACATTTTCTTCCCGAGTTTAAAACAAACCTTGTAGGCACGTTCGGGAGCAATACCCAGTGCTACTGCAGTGATATGCACCCCTGAGGGCTGAATCCACATGGCCATTCCTCATGCATCAAAGCTTTCATGAGAGACCCAGCATACAAAAGTCCCTTCAGTACTTTGGCATTAGTTTTCGAGGCTTTAGAGAAAGAAAATCTCTCTTGGGGCTGCAAGTGATAGCACAGCGGGTAGGGCGTTTGCATTTGTCTTGCATGTGGCCGACCCTGGTTAGATCCCGGCATCTCATATGGTCTCCGAGGCACTGCCAGAAGCAATTTCTGAGTGCAGGGAGTTACCCCTGAGCAACGCTGGGTGTAACCCAAAAAAGCAAAAAAAAAAAAAAAGGAAAAAAAGGAAAATCTTATATGCACAAAATCTCCAAAATGGTTTTCTCTCCAGAGGGCGGGGGTGGGGGGTGGGGGGTGGGAGGGATACTGGGACCCGTGGTGGTGGAAAATGGGCACTGGTGAAGGGATGGGTACTTGATCATTGTATAACTGAAACCCAAGCACAAAAAATTGTTAAGTCTACAACTGTACCTCATGGTGTTTCACTAATAAAAATTAAAAAACAAAACAAAACAAAATTGTTTTCTCTCTAATGAATTACTGACAGAAGCACCCATATACATGTCAGTGCAGATACCTTGGTGGGTGACTTAGAGAAGGTGTTAGAAAAAGGAAAAGAACAGAAAAGGCTTCAGAGTCAACATTCTGGGACAAGAGCTTCCCCTGCCGAGGCTAATAAACCAGGTGCTGAGTGAGAGAATTCTGAGGCTCCTGAGGGTTTTCTCTGATCACACAGGAGTGACCTTTAGTGGTGCTGGAAAGTTTTCTTGGAACCCTCCAGGATGGGTCCAACTTAAGACATCACACTTTTTGGGGGGGGGAGGTGGAGGGGGGCACACCTGCAGTACTCAGAGCCTGCTCCTGGCTCTGCTCTCAGGGATCACTCTTGGTGGAGTTGGGGAAACATACGTGGTGCCAAGGAATTGAACCTGGGTCAGCAGCACGCAAGGCAAGGACCCTACCCACTGTGCTATCTCTCCGGCCCTCGTCCTTTCTTTATTTTCCTTCTCCAAAGCCCCTGTGATGGCTAGAAATCCATTTGCAATAGGGAGCAATTAATAAAAAGAGGAATATGGAAACGGAATTGGGGTGGGAGGTGGGGAAAAACCCCTCAAAGTCCTACTGTAGATTTACAATTCTATGGCTTTAGGGGGGTTGTTTGGGGGTGCCCCACCTAACAGTGTGCAGGGTTTATTCCTGGCTCTGTGCTCAGGCATCACTCCTGGTGGGCTGAGAAGACCCTATGGGGGTTGGGGAATCCAACCCAAGGGGGGTTGCAGGCAAGGCCAGAGCCCTACGTCCTGCACTATTTCTCTAGCCCACAACTATACAGCTTTCACTTTTTAAATTTTCTCCACCAAGTTGTTTTAATAAAAGATAAAAAAATGGGTTTTTTTTCTTTTTTTTTTTTTTTAATTTGCTTTTTCTGGGTCATACCTGGTGATGCACAGGGGTTATACTCCTGGTTCTGCACTCAGGAATTACTCCTGGCAGTGCTTGGGGGACCATATGGGATGCTGGGAATAGAACCCGGATTGGCCGCATGCAAGGCAAACGCCCTCCTCGCTGTGCTATCGCTTCAGCCCCAAGCGAATGTTTTCTTCCCTGACAATTCTGGAAGCAAAACTCCACCTTGATTCCTGAGAACAAAGCCCCAGGATGGACGAGGCGCCCCTGCATGAACCAGTGTCGTGACAGAGGCCAGGGTGTAGACAGACGCACCCTGCAGGCCCGCAACCTCGAGGCCTCCGCCCCCTCAAGTGACAGGCACAGACAAAACTAGTCACGCCTCCTCTCCAAATGCAAACACACTTACTGTCTCTGAAAGCTTTGCAGTAGCCCAGGAAAGACAGGAGGAAGAAGAGGGCACCCAGCAGGTCTGCTCGGCCCACCACACCGGCCACCTGCAGAGAGGGGACAGGGAAGAAAGGATGTGGGCTCAGGTCAACAGGCCGGACAGTTACAGGTCATTTTGGGGGCGTGGTGGGCTGCAGGGTCTCCTGCGGGTGGGAGCCCCTCTTGACTGTCAGCCAACCCGCAGAGCAGCTTCGATGCCGTGGTCCTGCTCAGACCCTCTGGGGCTAGCCAGCACCCAGGCCATCCTGGGGGTGCCCATGAGTCCCTGGGGCTGTACCTGGTATCACTTTGGGGACCATGTGGTGCTGGGGATTGAACCAGGGCCACCCACATGCAAGGCAAGTGCTCTAATCCCTGCACTATTTCCTGGCCCAAGGACATTTGAAAAATCCTTTGAAAGGATTTTTTTTTCTAGAGCTAGGGCTGGGGAGATGGCACGGTGAGCAGGGCGCTGCCAGCCTGCAGCTGACCAGTATTCGACCCCTGGCACCACCCAGGGGAGCCCGAGCCTGCCAGGAGTGATCCCTGAGCACAGAGCTGGAAGGAAGCACTGCTGGCTGTGGGCACCTCTCCAGTAAAATAAGACAGCAGACCCTTCAGTAGATCCTGTCTCTGAGAAAATAATTGACGTGCCCGCAGGACACTCTAGTCTGGTCTTAGAAAAGGTGTTCTTGGGGCCAGGATTTATTTCTCAGGGCTGGAACACACCGGGCTCTGCATGCCTCTCTCGCCCCCAGTTCTGCATGGCTTGCTGGGCTCTGCAAGGCCCCTCAGATCCTCCTGGCCCCTGAGTTCCCCCTGAGTGTAGCCCGGGAGGTCCCAGCAACCCCTCCCAGAACCCCAACCAAGCAAACAGCAACTTTTCAACTCAAGAACTTGAGCCCCCGCCCCCCCCACACACCCCGCTGCTGGGAGAGCTGGACGCCTCCCGGGCTGTGCTGGTCACTCAGTGGTGGGCAATCCCCTCCCTGCCCCGACCTAGCCCAAGCTTGATCCGGGGACTCCCGAGTGAAGCTTTGAGAGGAACCAACATGCTGGTCAGGACACTTACACACTCCGTGTGCACTGGGTGTGCGGCGAAGAGCAGGGCGGCCAGCAGCGAGGCGCGGGGGGCCAGGTCCAGTCGGCGGCCCCGGCCCGAGTACTGCAGCCCCCCGAAAAGCACCGAGTACACGTCCAGCAGCAGCACCGAGACGGCCCCGTGCAGGAGGATGTTGACCACATGGAAGCTGGCAGGGTGGAACCCTCCGGAGAGGCAGTAGTTAATCCTGCGGGGGAAGCAGTTAGAGCTGGGGGTGGGGGCGGGGATCCATCCTAGGGGTGGTGGTGGTCAGTGCTGGGGTGGTGGTGGTCAGTGCTGGGGTCGGTGGTGGTCAGTCCTGGGGGTGTTGGCGGTCAGTCCTGGGGTTGGTGGTGGTCAGTCCTGGGGTTGGTGGTGGTCAGTCCTGGGGGTTTGGGTGGTCAGTCCTGGGGTTGGTGGCAGTCAGTCGTGGAGTTGGTAGTGGTCAGTCCTGGTGGTGGTAGCGGTCAGTCCTGAGGTTGGTGGTGGTCAGTCCTGCGGTTGGTGGCGGTCAGACCTGGGGTTGGTGGCGGTCAGTCCTGGGGTTGGTGGCAGTCAGTCCTGAGGTTGGTGGTGGTCAGTCCTGAGGTTGGTGGCGGTCAGTCCTGCGGTTGGTGGCGGTCAGACCTGGGGTTGGTGGCGGTCAGTCCTGGGGTTGGTGGCGGTCAGTCTTGAGGTTGGTGGCGGTCAGTCCTGGGGTTGGTGGTGGTCAGTCCTGGGGTTGGTGGCGTTCAGTCCTGAGGTTGGTGGCGGTCAGTCTTGCGGTTGGTGGTGGTCAGTCCTGGGGTTGGTGGTGGTCAGTCCTGGGGTTGGTGGCGGTCAGTCCTGGGGTTGGTGGCGGTCAGTCCTGGGGGTGTTGGCGGTCAGTCCTGGGGGTGGTGGTAGTCAGTCCTGGGGTTGGTGGTGGTCAGTCCTGGGATTGGTGGTGGTCGGTCCTGGGGTTGGTGGCGGTCAGTCCTGGGGTTGGTAGTGGTCATTCCTGGGGTTGGTAGTGGTCAGTCCTGGGGTGGTGGTAGTCAGTCCTGAGATTGGTGGTGGTCAGTTCTTGGGTTTGGTGGTAGTCAGTCCTGGGGTTGGTGGTGGTCAGTCCTGGGGTTGGTGGTGGTCAGTCCTGGGATTGGTGGTGGTCGGTCCTGGGGTTGTTGGCGGTCAGTCCTGGGGTTGGTAGTGGTCAGTCCTGGGGTTGGTAGTGGTCAGTCCTGGGGTGGTGGTAGTCAGTCCTGAGATTGGTGGTGGTCAGTTCTTGGGTTTGGTGGTAGTCAGTCCTGGGGTTGGTGGTGGTCAGTCCTGGGGTTGGTGGTGGTCAGTCCTGAGGTTGGTGGCGGTCAGTCCTGCGGTTGTTGGTGGTCAGTCCTGAGGTTGGTGGTGTTCAGTTCTTGGGTTTGGTGGTAGTCAGTCCTGGGGTTGGTGGTGGTCAGTCCTGGGGTTGGTGGTGGTCAGTCCTGGGGTTGGTGGCGGTCAGTCCTGGGATTGGTGGCGGTCAGTCCTGGGGGTGTTGGCGGTTAGTCCTGGGGGTGGTGGTAGTCAGTCCTGGGGTTGGTGGTGGTCAGTCCTGGGGTTGGTGGCGGTCAGTCCTGGGGTTGGTGGCGGTCAGTCCTGGGGGTGTTGGTGGTCAGTCCTGGGGGTGGTGGTAGTCAGTCCTGGGGTTGGTGGTGGTCAGTCCTGGGGTTGGTGGTGGTCGGTCCTGGGGTTGGTGGTGGTCGGTCCTGGGGTTGGTGGCAGTCAGTCCTGGGGTTGGTAGTGGTTAGTCCTGGGGTTGGTAGTGGTCAGTCCTGGGGTGATGGTAGTCAGTCCTAGGATTGGTAGCGGTCAGTCCTTGAGGGGAGGAGGGGGTGCCCACTGTGGGCACAGCAGGGGAGGGAAGAGGCTTAGGGGGACTGTCCAGACAGTGCCCGTCCCAGCGGGGAGGCTGCAGGTCCATCCCACATACAGAGAAGGAGCCACAAGACAAAGGGCTTGGAGAGAAAGCGTGGGACCAGAGCTGGGCATTCTTCTTCTTATTTTGTTTTTGAGCCATGCCCACGGCTTACTCCTGACCCTGTTCTCAGAGGTCACTCCTGGTGGTACTCAGGGGACCATGTGGGACACCAGGGACCGAACCTGGTCACTACGTGCAAGGCAAGCACCCTCCCCACTGAACTATCTCTCTGGCCCTCATCCTTGGTTTCTGCATTAATTTTTGTTTGGGGGTGACACTTGGTGGTACTCAGGGCTGATTCCTGGCTCTGCATCCAGGGACCACTCCTGGCGGGACTTGGGGGACCCTATGGGGTGCTGGGGACTAAGGAGGGGCTAGACGTGGGCAGGGCAAGGGTGTGAACTTCTGCACTGTCTCCAGCCCAATCCTTTTTTCGGGGGAGAGGGGAATGACCCCCACCCCCACCCCCCTGGAACACGAACACACTTTCATCAGCCGCCCAGGCACCTTGACTCTAAACATCGCTGATGTGAAGAATCCAAGGATCCAGAGCGTGTGCTGCCCTGGGGACAGGACAGCACCCATCCCCATGGTGCCACCTGCCCTTCCTTACCAGTGGGGCCAGTGCAGAAAGGAGGGTGCTGAGTGTACCCCACCTTCTGGTGAGCAGTTCGAGCTGGTTCCTGGGGACACCCACTTGCCTTGGGACAAAGCTGGTACCGCCCCTCGCTCCCCCCCCCGCCCGCCTGGACCGTGACCCTCACCTGAAGGTCAGCACGGTGAGTGGCCGGTAGGACTTGTGGCTGGCATTGCTGCTCAACCGGCTGCCCCAGAAGTCGTGGTGCCACAGGTCCCTGAGAGGGGTCTCGGCGCGGAGGTCCTGCGGGAAGGTGCACAGGGTGCCAGGGGTCCGGGGGCTGCCTCCTCCCAGCCCCCGCTCCGTCTCTTCCTCCTTTCTCTGGCACCTTCTCTTCCCAAGCCCGTTCCAGTCCTGGGCTAGGCACTGCCCACCCTCGGTGCCCTTGGACAGGGCTGGGAAATACTGCCTTCTGGACCAGCAGCCTGTCTCCTGGGCTTCCCCAGCCCGATTCCACCCTGCCAGCATTCATGCAGGACCTGGAAGCAGCTTGGAACCCATCATATTGTGGGCAGCCCACCCAGGCTGGGGCTCTGTGAGGCTGCATGCATACAGAAGGGGCCTAATGTTTGCTGAATGCGTGAACGGGAATGGAGGTGGTGCTCATCCTCCTTTCCCCACAGCGTTTACCCAAACCTCAGAGCGGACAGACACGAAGCCCATGGGGCCCATCACGCAGCACAGACCAGTGACCACCTGCCCTTAGGGCCTGCAGAAAGGCTGGACCTTCACCCACAAGCCCCTGAGAGCAAATTTCCCTTCCAAGGTGGGGGTGGGGGGAGGGGGTTCAGCTTCTGAGGCTGGCCAGGGCCCCCCAAGAGTCAGGGATGAGTTTGTATGGTCACGTACGTAGCCATGACTCTCCCTGCCCAGCTGGGCTGGTCCTGGACGAACCTCAAACCTCAATTCCTTGCAAAGGGGAGGGGTGGAGGTGCTTTCCGTCCGCGGACTAGAAAACAAATACCAGGACGAAGGAGCTTTCAATATTTGATTACGAAGTCCTCAATATTTGATTAGGGGGTTGTCGGCACCCAGCGGGCACCCTGGGCAGAGAGTAGCTTTCCCTCCCAACGATTCCTGGGGAAAAAAACAAAAAACAAAAAACCCCAGCCCAAGCCGTTGGTTCTGAGTCTCCAACAAGACCACCTCTGCAAGAGACGAAAAAAAAAAACAGGCAACTGCATGACTCTGCACTCCAAGGAAGCGTCTGGAAACCAGTCCCGACAGTAGAGAAAGGCGGCGGCCGGCTGTTCCCAGGGCTGCGGGCGGCGGGCCAGGCAGAGGAGCGCCTTTCACTCGGGCCCTGCACAAAGGCCCGGAGTGTGCCCGAGTGGCCACTGCAGCCGCCAGCCGCCTCTGCCCGGAAGGATGAGAACGACCCCCACCTTCCCACAGAGCTCACACCCAGCCCTGTCTGGCGATTCAGCACAGCTGCCGGGCACCACACGGTGCCCTGAGCATTGTGAGGTGGCCCTGGAGGGCCCCTGAGCACCTCCACAATAGCCCCGTGGTCCTGCATTTTCAAGTCTCGCACTTTCAAGTCTCGCACTGACCCAGGTGGGCAAGCTTTGTCAGAAGTGACCAACCCTCCCCGTCTTGCCCACCAGCCCCTGAGCACCACTTGGGAGGTCTCCCCCTTCCTGAAAGATGTGTTTGTTTTGGGGTCACACTCAGCCGTGCTTGGGGCTTACTCCTGCCTCGGCACTCAGGGGTCCCTCCTGGCAGTGCTCAGGGGATGACAGGGGATGCCACAGACCAAAGCCAGGCTGGAAGCCCGCAAGGCCATCGTCCGACTCTTGTGCTATCGCTCGGGTCCAGGAGCCTCTGACAAGCTCCGAGTAAACGCTTTATACGTTCAATGCTCAGCAAAACAGAAAACAGATTATGAGGGCCAGAGAGGTAGTACAGTGGGCAGGGCACTTGCCTTGCACGCAGATGACCTGGGTTCAAACCCCGGCACCCCATGTGGTCCCCTAAGCCCCAGAACAAGTGATTCCTGAGTGCAGAATCAGCAGGCAGTCCCTCCAAAACGAAGCCACAGAAAGAATAAAATTTGAAAATAAAAACGGGAGTCAGGGATGGAGCCGGCTGCCAGGCTTGCGGAAGCGAGGCCCTGCGTTCAACAAAACAACACAACCAAAACAGCACACATCCCTCATCTTCGCTCCTCCCTCCCCTAGCCCTGGTGACCCCCAAACACAGAAAACAAAATAAGGTCTTGTCCGGGATGCTTGGTAACAAAGCCAGGCGGTGGCTGACCCAGCCATCACACCATCTGCCCCCACAGCGACAAGCTCACTTCCTCCGCTCCTCAGCCGGGGAGACAAAGTTTGTCAGCTGGACCTGAGGTCAATGAGGAGGGATGAGCCTGAGCAGGAAGCAAACATCGACCTTGCAAGGGCGGGTGCCTTAGTCCAGACCATTGCCACTCTGTGACAAATAAGGTATCTGCAGTCACGGGAGCAAGTGTGTTCATACCACACACACACACACACATACACACACACACACTCATATAAACACACATACATGCAAACACATACAAACACACGTGCACAAACACACACTCAAACACACATCCACGCACACACACTCACAAACATACACACATGCACACGTGGACACACACACAAAAACATACGCACATGCACACACTCGCATAAACACACACGCACACACACTCACAAACCTACACACACGCACACACACTCACAAACCTACACACACGCACACACGCATGTACACACACTCAAACACTTACAAAAACACACGCACATGCACACACTCACATAAACACACACGCACAGTCACAAACACACATACATGTGTGCGCACATACACATACTTAAATGCACAGACTCACAGAAACACACACGCACATTCAACCACACTCACAGGCACACACACTCACAGGCACACACACACATAAGCATACACACACATGTGCATGCACACACACACACACACACACACACACACCTGCTCCCACCTCAAATACAAGTTTGTCCTAAAGAGAGTCTTCCTCCAGCTTTCAGCAGGAAAATGTCGTGTTCCTGTTCCTTTGGGAGAAGGGGGACGTCAACATTTCAAAGAACACCCACGGTGTTACAAAGAGCCGCTACACTCGCCTCTGGTGAGCCCGCTGCACCCTGACACTGTTTACCTCTCTTGGGAGCTCGGCCCAACGCCTTCCTTCCGAGGGCCCGCCTAGACTCAGGGCTTCTCCTCTCTTCCTCTTTTCAGACCTGAGGAGAATGATGTCCTTCTCCCTCCTCAAACCTTTCCCACCTCATCTCCACAGGAGGACATTTCCCCTGCCATTGCACCAGGGAGCCAAACGGGTGGGCATCGTGCCGAGTCAGCCTGTGGAGGGTGCTGGGGGGGTGGCCGGCGGTGGGGCAGAGGCTGGCACGCTCTAGCAGCCAGCCTGCTGCCTGGTGGAGCCGGGGCCTGCCAGTGAACCTGTCCAGGACTGCAGCAAATGCGAGCGGCCCCATGGTCACTTCCTGCGGCCAACACACCGAATCCGGCTCACTCAGCAACTGTGTGCAAGACCCCTTCCATCACTGCAGCGGCAATCTACATACTGTAAAACGATTTCCTGGGTTCTTAGCTAAAGATCTGGAAACGTCTCGTGACACTGATCTGCCACACACTGTATGAAACCCGCCATGTCAACCCAGCAGAGCATCCCTCTGACTGGGTGGGGCCCAGCTGGGCCCTCACTGGGGAGAGGGACAGAACTGGGGTGGAGGGAGTTAGAGGCCTAGAGGTGCTTCCTGACCTTTTCCTTCCGACCTTGCTTTCTTCCTATGCCCACCTCACCCCCTTCCCTTCCATCCTATCAGCTGGCCCCTAGTCTTCACTGGTGTGATTTCAGTGACCCCACTGGGCTCTCCTGGTGGGGGGGCAATTGTGGAATACTGCCCTGAGGCGGAACCAGGACCCAGGCAAATCGATGCCCCGGGGGAGTTTCAGAGAGACGAACCCAAGATGCGGCAGGTTTCGGCCAGGAGAGGGGGGCAGGGCACCCACCTTGTTGTTCACGATCGCCTCAGAGTCGTCGAAGACGAAGTCTCCATCGTAGCTCCGTGCAAAGCACAGGAGGGACACGCAGGCCACCAGGCACCTGGCCCAGCAGGGGGCCAGGACCCAGGGCGGGACGATGTGCTCCAGCTCGGCGTCCAGCGGGGCCATCCTGAATGCCGCACCAGCATCCTGCTGCTTAGAGATCTGCAGGGCAGAGGACACGGGGCGAGGGTCACCAGCATGTCCCCGAGAGGCCAGCAAGAGCTGGGGAGCCCTTTCCGCTGTTTATTTTTTATCCATTTTATAAGCGTTGGGTGGCTGGTCCCCAGGCTGTGTCCCGGACAATCTCAGGGAGGTGTCCTACCAGCTGGATAGGTGGTCAACGGGCACCCGAGGGGTGCAGCTGCTCAGGCTTTGGGGGCTGCGTTTCCTGGGCCACTCCAGGGGACCACGTGGTACCAGGGGTAGAAGTGGAGGGGGGGGTGTCACATGCAGGGCCTCCACTGAGAACAGCTGAAGACGGAATCATTACACACTCTTTCACACTCCAGTGGACACAGGGGTCACTCGGGGCTCCTGCCATCTCTATCCCACCTCTTGTCAAACTGGAAGCCCTTGTGAAGAGATCAAACGGAACCTGGCATTTATCTGTGCCATCGGGCAAATGTTCAGTGGCCCTCCCACCATCTTACCCAAGTTCCTAACTACCGCTAACAAAAAAGATCATGAGTGGCTGGGGCCTGGGACACGGCCCATGGGGAGCATGAAACAAGATCCTGATTCTACAAACCTGGGGCCAGAGCCATAGTACAGCAGGGAGGGCGTTTGCTTTGCACGTGGCTGACCCGGGTTCGATCCCCAGCACCCCACATGGTCCCCTGAGCATCACCAGGAGTGATGCCTGAGTACAGAGCCAGGAATAGCCCTGGAACATTGCTGGGTGTGGCCCCTTTTCCCAAACATTTTTTTAAGGCCCAAACCTGGTCTCTGAGTGGAGGTGGATGCCCAGGGCAGAAGGATGGAAGGTGAAAGGACCGTTAAAAAGAGGAGGGAGGCAGGCGTGGTGGGGGCGGGGCAGGGCATGAGAGGCAGAGGAAGGAGAGGCCACTGCTGCCAGGTCAGCTAGGGGCAGGAGGACTGGCCCCACTTTCTTCACAAGCCTTTTCCTTTCTATGGAGGAGTGATCAAGCAGTGCTCCCAGGGCCTGGGCCATCCCCCTATCTGGCCTGGACTGTCCGAGGCTCCAGCCCAAAGGTGCCAGGGACCAATAGGCCATTCTCAGAGGGGGCCACAAGTGCTGGGGAATCCAGTCTGGAGCCTTGCCTATACAAAGCATGACCCTTAGCCCTCTGGGCTATGGCCCAGCCCCATTCTGCTCTCTCCCTGGCAACTGTGGAGGTCCAGTAATGCTGTCCCGTGGCCTTGCCATTTGTCCCTGAGGGCCTGTGCATGTCACTGCGCCCCTCCAGATCCGTCTCCTGCGCCACTCTTCAGAAACCTGATCGACTCCACAGAAGTGAGGGGTGGTTAGGAGATTCCTGCCTGGAAACCGGCCGAAACACCCAACTCCCCTCTCCCATCATGCTTTCTCTATGCCTCTGCCCACCCTTTCTCAACCATCACTTTCTTGGGACTGGCCAGGGACCGAGTCTCAATCTGGCTTAACTGGCCTCTCTGAGTACCCTGCAGAGGATAGATTCTGCCTGGCTCTGCCGGGTGCCCTGAAACCTGAAAGCCAGCTGCTTTCACGGAGACCTTCTGGGAAGGGGGAAATCGCTGTGGTTTTCCAGGGTGCATCCCCTTCCCTGTGGGGTGAATTTACCTTTCTATGGAAGAGTGCTTTTAAAAGGCCCAAACCTGGTCTCCGATTGGAGGCAGATGCCCAGGGCAGCAAGATGGAAGGCGGGAGGACCGTTAAAAAGAAGAGGGGGAGGCAGGCACGGTGGGGGTGGCCACGAGGAGCCCAGGTCCTGGACCAGAAAGGATGTGAGAGGTACTGATTGACTCCCCAAGTCCCCAAGGCAAAGCCCCAGAACAGACACAGGCCTGCGAGGTCACAGGCATCTTTTCTGGAAGCTTCTATTGAGTCAAAGTTGGAGAAGCAACACCCAGTGGATGCAGCACTGTCTGGCCACACTGTCCCTTCCTCTCCAGGTGCGGAGAGAGGTTAGGGGTGGGGATATCCCTGGATATCACTATAGAGCCGGACTGCCTTTTCAAAGTCTTCTTTCTGGTAAGTCGGCAGGATAAATGACTGGTCAAATGCACACCAGATTTGCTAACACGGTGCTGACGTTGGGTCTCTACATCAGTAAAGCTCTGTCTAGGGGTGGGAGGGCTCGCAAGGGGCTGTGCATGTGCTCTGTGGGCCAGAGATGGGGGTCCAAGCCCCAGGATCCCCGAGGGCATCAAAAAGCGACCCCCCAAGCACTGCGCTGGGAATAGTACCAGAGCACCAACGTGTGTGTGAGCCCCTGCAGCCCTGAAAAAGAATGATTCCTTCTATTATATAAACAAAATGTGAAATGCTTAGGAGGAGGAGGCCATGACTTAACAGGGAGGAACAAAGCAAACCCTTCTGTCAGTTCCAGGTCCTGCAACTGGGTGCAGTACTCCCTGCCTCAGCTGCAGATACCTAAGTGCTCCTCCCTGCAAGGCCATCGCGGGGTCCAAGGGAGCAGTGCAGAAATAACACGCACTTCAGGGCTGCCTGGTCCCACTTATCCCTCTTGGGCAGGCGCTGAGATAAGAAGGCTGGACTCTGGACCCGTACACCTGGGCTCTGGGGAGCCCACAGGGCAGCTGAATCGATCCCAGCACGATCAATCGATCGATTGCCTCCAGTTCTGTAGGCGAACCAGGGAGCCTGGCCTCCACCCAGCTGCCACGGCTCCTGCCACCCCCACCTTGCACCACACTTTCCCCACAGTGGCTGGCTCTCTGCATGGTCCTTTCCCTCCCCCAGTCTCTCAGACATGCACTTTCACTGGTACCCACAAGTGGCCCTGGGGCTCATGGAGTGCCAGCAGCAGAGAGCTGGGAACTTTGCAAAGTCCCTGTGGTGCAGCCACGGGTCTAAGAGTCGACAGCCTGCAGGCCTCGGCTTCTGGGTGGGAGAGACGCTGCATTGGGGCTGGAGCTCAGCTTGACCTGTGAGAGCCTCGGGATCGGTCCCTGGCTCATCTGGGAGGAATCCCCTGAGCCCTGAGCCAGGAAGAGTCCTGCTGAGCACCACCAGGTAAGGTCCCCAAACATCAGCCCACAGCAGAACGACAGCACCAGTCCTGACGCAGCAAGGATGAAGGAGAGATGGATGGGGTGCCCAGCTCTCCTGAGTCTGCTCTGATCACCTGCCTCAACAGCCCTGATGCTGCCATCAGCGTAGATACACCGTATGGGGTGCCCTGATGTGCAGGGCTTGTGCCCTTCTGTGCGGCTGCAGTGGCTGCTGTTGCCGTGAACCCTCCAGAGTGCTCCTGACACCCCTCCAGACAATGAGAATCAGCTTCTGCCATGATTCCGGCCAGCCAGGTACCCAGGACAGCTGGGACAGATGGGGATGCTGGCCCAAGGCATGAAGGGGCAGAGGCCTGCTCCTCTTTCCAGGAAGGGTGTGTTTGTGTGTGTGTTTGTGTGTGTGTATGTGTGTGTGTGCGTGCGCATGTGTGTACGTGTGTGTGTGTGAGTATGGGGGAGGGAGGCAGCTGGCTGGGGCACCACTGTCGCTTTCCCTGGGTGGGTGGGACCAGAGAGAAGTGCTGCATTCTGCTCCCACTCTGCCTCCAGCCTGGCTGTCAGCGTTGGGAAGGAACCAGCTCTTCCAGCCGGGGAACTGGAGAGCCAGTGAAAGTCCCGTTATTCTCCACTTCTCCAACCTCGTTTTCTAAGGGGTTAATACAAATGAATGAAAACCCCCAACAGAGTGAGTCCCTGGAGGCCAGGTAACAGCTGGCACTGCAGTCTGGGCTCCAGGGAGGAAAGTGGGGGTGCCACCCTCCGGGATCCCCCTGGGACGACAATCAGCCGCCACCTTCTATCTACCTTGGGACCTTCTGCAAGCACTGTGGGCCTCCTGGCCTCTGCCCACCCTGCCACCTGGACAACCCAGGGACCCGCCAGTGGCCTGGCCAGGCGGAGGCCACTGAGAACCTCTGGGATGGGATTAAAGAGCGCAGCGGGTTCTGACCCAGAGTGAGCCTGGGTGGCAGCTCTCCTGGGAGCCTCAGAAATGGTGGGGCTCCCCCGCACTCCCCCATGCATCTCTGAACAGAAATTGCTCCTGCCAATCGCTTCCTCGTTCTTTCTTTTTCTTTTTTCTTTACACTTCAGGCATTCCCCAGGGCCAACCACCACGCCTACAGACCCACAAGAAGCACCGCGGGGTTCCACACGCGGGTCCCACGTTCCCATAAAGTTTCCAGCTTGCTGGCTTGTAGTGATCGGAACCAGCCTGGGGGCCCCGGGGATGGGGGTGGGGGCACTGCGGGACTGCGGGGGAGGGGGGGGGGGCGGGGACCCGGGTTCGTGTCACTGTTCATTGCTCCAGGAAGTTCCCCATGATCCATCTGCCACGCAGGGCCAAGGGCCGCGTGGAACGCGCGTCGGCTCGGGCTCCAACTCCTCCCTCCTTTTGTGCGGCTCCACACCGCATCCACAAATCCACAAGCCCGGGCAGGTTGGCAGGCGGGGAGGCTGCTGGGGCAGCCCCTGTTCCGCGTGCCCCCAAACTCCGAAGCCGGAGCGGGCAAGTGCTGCTGGCCGGTCCTACCACCCCCCCCACCCCCCACCCCGCCAACCCTCCCTCCTTGCCCCCTCGCGCCGCAACCAGCACTCGCAGACGCTGCGGGGGAGCCGCGCTCGCCTCGGACCCAGGGCAGAAGGCCAAGAGACCCGGCGCGGCTGTCCAGCTCGGGGCCCCGGGGCCAGGTGGCCGCTGCGGGCCAGGGCGCGCCCGACAAGCTGGTGGCGACCCCGGGCCGAGGCCAAGCCCAGGAGCGCGAGTCCCGGGGCGCCTCCTCCACGCCGCGCCCTTTGTCCCGCGCGCGGCTGCTTCCAGCGGGGAGCCCGGCGCCCCCGGGACCCCCCAGCCGCGGGGGCTGCAGCCCCGCTACTCCGATCAACTCCTCCGGCAGTCGCCGGGTCGGGGCCGGGCGCCGCGGGCCGCCCCCCTCTCCCCGCCTCGCGGCGCGCTCGGCCCTGCAGGGGCCGCCCCGCGCGTTACCTGCAAGGAGCCCGAGCGGCGGCCGCATCTCCCTCCCGGGCGCCGAAACTCCGGCGGCTCCCGGCGGCCGCCCCGAGCAGGGCAGGGGGAGGGGCCGCCCGCGCCCCCCGCCCCCCGCCGCGCCCTCCCGCCCGCGCCGCGCGCCGCGCGCACCGCCCGCGGCTCTCCACGCGCGCGCGGGGGCTCGCTCGCACGCTCCGCCTCGCCACGCCCCCACCCCGCCGCCATTGGGCGCCGAGGCCGTCACTCTCCCGTGGCCGCTGCGCCCTCTCCGGCTCATTGGTGGAGGCGCGGGTGACGTCGCCCCGGAGGCGGGGCCCCGGCGGAGTCGGCGGGAGGGGAGGAAGCGGAGTCCTGGGCGCGCCACCCGGGCGGGGCCGGGGCGGGAAGGGGCGGCCCGAGCCCCGGGGCCCCGGGAGGCGGGAGCGGAAGCGGGTCCCGGGCCGGCCGCCCGCGTCTCAGCCTCCCGAGCCTGCCCTAATCCTGTCGAGGGTCGCGCCCGGGGCGACCTCGGATCCACCCCCAGCCGTGACTTCTCCCAGGCTGGGAGGAGTTGTCTGAAAAAACGTGTATTTCGCTCTGATGGCTCCCGGACGTGCTGCCCTCTCGCGTCCCGCTGGCCTCCTTTTTTACCCCCCTTTTAAAAATTACGTCGATCCTCTTGCATGCATGCTCAGCTCCAGGTTCTCCGAAGAACCCACGGCCCCCGCGGGCCTCCAGTCTCAGGAGATCTCTTGGCTCTTGCCACCCTAGGGTTGCACACCACCTTCCTCTCCGCATTCTATAAGTCTCATCTAACACAGACCTCTCCTCTTGACTGGGTCTAATAAGCATCAAATAAGCCCCCAAACTTCCTCTGCCCCCTCACCCTTCCAGCACCCACCCGCCTCCTGCGCTCCCAGGCTGCGTTTGGAAGTTGCCTGTTGCCACTTTTTCCTCTCCCAAGTCCCACCCATGTCTTGGTATTCCTTGGTCTAGTGGGACTATGGGCTGGATCGATAGCACAGCGGGTAGGGCGGGTAGGGCGTTTGCCTTGCACACGGCCAACCCCCGACCCAGGTTCTATTCCTCTGGCCGGGCAAACTACCAAGAGTATCTCCTCCCGCACTACCCGTGAGGTATTCGGTATGCCAAACACAGTAACAAGTGTCAGGATGGAGATGTTACTGGGTCCGCTTGAGCGAATCCAACAAACAACGGGAAGACAGGACAGGACTGGAGTGGGACTAGCTCTTCCAGTAGCTCTCCCCAGGCAACTGAATCCAAAGAACTGGCTCCTTGTGTGTTTCCTCTGATGTCTCAGGGAAAATCCGTTCTTAAAAGAACTTTCCCCCACAGTCTCCCTGTTGGTCCCCCCGCCCCCCCACGGGCTTCCCTTCCCCCGGCTTCCCTTCCCCCACCCTGTGTGGTTTAATGCATTGCCAACATTTCATTCAAGTTTACTCCTCTGGCCCTTAGTCTTCTGAAGCCAGTTATGTGGCTTCCGATTTAGAAAAAATCTGGCTGTGTGGCGGTCAGCTTATATGGATGGTGTCCCAAATGGAATACAATCCTTCCCTACTTTCTGCTTTGGGTAATGGTTATTTGTGAACATACATATTTGTGATACACCTTTTACTTTCATCAGCATATAGTATTTGTAAATTATGTGCTAATTTATAAATTATGTGCTAATTTGTATCCATCACTATCACTATCACCCTGTTTTTCATCGATTTGCTTGAGTGGGCACCAGTAATGTCTCCATTCGTCCCTGTCACGTGCTAGTGTAGCCCGATGGCATATTGGGGGCTCTTTCAGGGTCAGGGGAATGAGGACCATCATTGTTACTATTTTTGGGATATCAAGTATGCCACGAGTAGCTTGCCAGGCTCTGCTGTGTGGGCAGGATACTCTCGGTAGCTTGCCAGGCTCTCCGAGAGGGATGGAGGCTTTTGGGGCAGCCTCTAATCACCTTTACAGGTGTTCCCAGTCAGGCATATATGCAGGCAAGATACTCTCAGTAGCCTGCCGGGTTCTCTGAGCGTGAGAACTAGACAATAAGAGGTTATGCGGCCACAAATGCGGCCACGCACTTCTGAGAGCTAGGTTTTATAGTCTCTAGATCTTAGCTGTTGATGGGGTTACATGGCAGTTGGTGGGTATAACTGTCTAGCTACTGGAAGATGGGGGTCTGGGTGGAGGAGGCCCAGCCCTGATCTGAGCAGGCTTGGAGATTTCAGCCCCAGGTCCCGCACACCTGGGTTCCTCTGCTGGTTTCTTCATGTGTGAGGCTCATCCTAGCATGTGGAGAATGGTCTCATCATGGCTGTGGCTGGGTCCTGGAGGTCTTCAGCTGCCGTATTTGTATTTGTATCAGTAAAATTTATAATAGGGGCTGGAGATATACTGCAGTGGGTAAAGTGCTTGCCTTGCACACTGCTTACCTGGGTTTGATACCACCACATATGATCTCTTGTGGCCCACAAGAGTGATCTCTACAGCACCAGGAGGATTACTCCATAGCTTAGAGGCCAGCCGGGTGTTCTATGGGAAAGGACAGCTCAGATAGAGAGGGGAGCACCAAATAAAGGGTGTCTGGAGGAGCCTCCCAGGAGGGGAGAGGCATGTTGAAAGTAGACTATGGACTGAACATGTTTGTCACTCGATGCCTCTTTTGCAGACCACAACACCCAAAAGAATAGAGAGAACAAAAGGGAATGCCCTGCCACAGAGGCAAGGTGGGATGGGCGGGATGGGGGTGGGAGGGATATTACCCATGGTGGTGGAAATGGGCACTGGTGGAGGGATGGGTGTTTGATCATTGTATAGTCGAGACTCAAGCACAAAAATTTGTGGATCTACAACTGTACCTCATGGTGTTTCACTAATAAAAAAAAAAAAAGAGTGATCTCTAAGCATAGAGCTGACAGTAGCCCTGACCTCCACCAAATGTTTCCATAAAAACCCAAACTATTTTTTTAATTGAATCACCGTGAACTATAAGAATACAAAGATGTTTATTATTGAGTTTCAGGTGTACATTGTTCTAACATCAGAACCTTCACCAGTGCACACTACCCTCCTCCAATTTCCCCAGTTTCCCTCCTTCCGCCAGCCTACCTCTGTGACTGTACTTCTCACTACCACATTGGCCTAGTATTCCCTTTCCTAACATTCCCCTCACGCCTGCCCCTCTGCCAAGTTTTCTACTGAAGACCAGTTCTCTTGCTCTTTTTCACAATTTTTTAAAATTTTTGTTCACACCAATTTATTACATTTAATATTCTAACACCAATCCCATCACCATTACACCTTTCCACCACCGTTATTTCCAATTTTCCCAACCACCACCCAAGCTGGCTCCAATAGCAGGCCCTAGATAATTTATTTTGTATTATCTGTTATGAATAATTCTCTAAAAATGATCCAAAAATTTCCTTAGAAGAAAGTGTGTGAAGATTATTGTATCTCACCCTGGAGTCATTAAGCCCTTGTATAAGAGATTACTAACATGTTGCTAAAGGTTGAATCTTGTGTGTTCATATTTTCTTTTTTTTTTTCTTCTTTTTTTCTGGCTCATGCACTCAGGAATTACTCCTAGTGATGCTCGGGGGACCATATGGGATGTTGGAAATTGAACCTGGATCAGCCGCGTGCAAGGCAAAAGCCCTACCCACTGTGCTATCGCTCCAGCCCCTGTTAATATTTTCTTAATCGAGATTGGTTGCCTTCTACTTTACATCCCATCCAATGTGGTGTGCTACTCCTGGTATATCAGTGGTGTAGACTCTGAGATGTCACTCCGGAAACTCTAAAATTTTGAATGGAGTGATACAGCTGGAGTTAAATTTTTAACTGGATGTTGACTTTGAGGTCCGGAAGCATCTCTGCAGCTTGTTGAGTTTTTCAACAGATTCATTCCTGGAGGCGGCTTGTCCTGAGCCTGTGGAGTCCGGCCATGAGCATGGCAGCAACTGGAGCATGGAGATTTCGGCTGCTGGGACTCTCTGAGTCCTCCACGGGCCCCGCTCTGGGGTGCCTCGGGTATGAAACTCAGCCTGGTGTGGGTCTGGAGTTCTCTCTCTCTCTCTCTCTCTCTCTCTCTCTCTCTCTCTCTCTCCTCCCTCCTTCCTCCCTCCCTCCCTCTTTCTCTCCCGTCTCTTAGATCTCTCCCCAGACACCCTTATGTCCCGACACATGTTTCCACTGCCACCGTGACTAACCATGCCATCTCTGCAGAAGTGTCCAGCGTCCATGTGAGTTACGGGGAGCTCTGGACTCAGCATCTTTTGTCCTCTATGTCCCCCCGCCCCCCGCAGCGTCCGTGCCCACCACATAGCAGGCACCTGGCCTTTCTTCTTAGGAGAAGTACTTTTCCCCAAGTCACTCTCTATATTATTAACCGGACTTACTGTCACAACTATGTCACAGTCTCTACGGATATTGAATCATGCTGTATACCTGAAACCAAGAAAATGTGTGATGTCAATTATCCTCTAGTAAAAACATGGGGCAGGAAGAAATGGAATCCCCTAACAAGTCTAATGCTCTACTCTGCACACATGTGGAGTCACATGCTCACAGGGAGACAGTGGAGCTAGTCCAAGCTCAGGGACAGGTTCTGTGCAGAACATAATGGTAACAGCGAGGGCCAGAGAGATAGTTCAGTAGGGCATTTGCCTTGCTTGCAGCCAACCTGGGTTCTATCCCCGGTTCCCTATATGGTCCACCAAGCCCTGCTAAGAATGATCCCTGAGTGTAAGGCCAGAAGTAAGCCCTGAGAACAGCCAGGTGTGCCCCACCCCGCTCCTTCAAAAGAAAGGTAACTGTGCCACTGATCTCTCCTTTCACTGCCTTACAGATTGATTATGACAAATATGAGAAGCAGAGCAAACTCTCCAGGCTTGGCTACTGGGTCCCACACTGACCCCACCCCTTGATCCCAGATCCTTAGGAAGAACACTCTGAGCTCACCATTATATACATATACATTCATGTATGTATACATATACATGTACATGTATACATGTACACATGTATATGTGAACATAAATGTATACATATATCTATACACACACACCCACACACATATATATGTACACGCATATACATGTGTGTTATACATGTACATGCATGTATATACACATATACATATGCAA